TTACATATTTCTTAATTTTGTTTTACATTTTAGAGATTAAAATTGTTATCTAATTTTTTATTATCTTATATAATTTTTTTATATTTTTCATGAACGCTTATTTCAATATTTATTATTTTTTTAAATTTAAAGTTTACTTTTATATGAATTATTGACATTTAATTAAGTTTTTTACACTATATGATTAAAATATTATTTTTAAATAAATTATTTTTAAAATTATTTAATATTTATTAATTTAATACATATTATTTGTATTTATCAACCAATTCAAAATATTTTAAATTTTTTTTATTTAAAATAATTTTATTTTCTATATATAATTATTTACAAAAAGTATAAAATTTTACTCTATAATTATTAAATTATATATATTCTTATAAAATAAAATACGATTGCATAGCTACTAACTTAGTTACTATTTTAGAAAGGTAATAATTTTAAAAGGAAAGATTAAAAACTCAGATAGCAACTTTTATGAAAATTAGAACATTGTTTATTTATTTTATAAATTAAAACACTCTAACATTGCAAATAAATTTTAAATTGTCACCCAACTATAGATTATTATATGAGCAACCTTTTTTATTTGTATGAGCAACTAAAATTAGATTTATTTTAATTTATATGTTATAATAATAAATGACAAATGAAAATGAATGAAACAAGAAAAAAACATTTATTACTTTTCACTGATTACTTAAAGAAGTCATAAAAAATTTGTGTATTTCAACGTATTAGGATTTGTAATCATATGATAGTTTTTTTAATTCATTAACCTATGTTTTAAAAATGCATGTCAAAAATTAAAATTTTTTAAAAAATATTATCATGAAAAAGGCCCTCTCCTCCCCCACGCCACACCAAAATCTATCCATTCACTTTGGCAACAACAACATAAATGAGATAAAGTTGTTTAGCTGTGAAGGCAGGGCATGTGGTTGGGCTGAAGTTGGGACCGTGTTAAAGAATGAAAGCCACCATGCTTCAAGGGACTGAGGCCTGATAAGAAGATTAATGCATGCAACATGCACTAATCACCTACCTTTGTATTGCATATAAAGTAGTTTATAGAGTGGTCCCTTGCATAAATATCACAGAACAAAAGGCTGGGCTTGTTTGTTTGGGTCTGTAGACTCAGTACAGTCCCCTACACACCTAGTCACCCACTGTGTCTTCTTTGTAACCTCACTATCATTGCTAAAGTCTCCACAACCCTATCCTTCTTCCCCCAGCCAATCACATGATCATTTATATATATATATATATATACAATTGAGATAATAGTTGACTTTTTTTAAAAAAAAAATAATTAACGGTATCATTTTTCATTCAAATAGTCTTATTTGAGTCAAAGAACACAATATGATAAGATTAATTTTGTATTCACAAAATTTAAATTCAAATTTTTTCTTAAAGGATATAATCTTACTAATTCTTGCTTCTTCATTTTTTTTTAGTTTTGTTAATTTCAATTTTTAAGTTAAGAATAAGTAGTTAATAATAATAAAATATTTTATTTTTTAAATGAATATTTAAAAAATATTATTTAAAAATTAAATGAGACAAATAAGTAATTTTTTAGTGGTGCACTTTTTTTCCATATAATTTGTTTATAAAAGAGAGGCCAGTATTTTATGGTTGTTTTGCCACCTCATGATGGTCGAATTAATAGTGCAAGATTGGTACTTCAGTTCAGTAGTTTTGGACCTATTTCAGCATAGCTTACCTATTACCTCAGTGGACATAACACATTTTTCATTAACGATGATTGCTCCAAGTCAATCCTATGTCTTTATTTTCCCCAATAAAGTAACACATATATAATTCACTATTGCACTGTGGTCAATGATCCAAATCTATTGCACACTCTTTTTTTGGAACCGATTCCCCGGACTTTGATAATTGGGTTATTGTGGTTAACAGGTGTCAAATTGGGCCACGCAGTTGTATGTTATAACCCAAGTTCCCGATCAGAGATTATTGTTAATTATGGAAAAAAAAAAAAAACTTCAATCAATGCTTCGACCATTGACCAAAACAATGCCTGGACACCCCCCCCCCCACCAAAGTCTTCAATGAAGACGTAGATGGGCATTAGCTTCTCTTGTTTATAATTCAGGTCATTTTATACCTCTTCTCAATTCCTTTACTGAAAACTTTACATTAAAACATGGCAACTTTATTTTAAAATTTGTACACAATAAATTGTATATATTACAAAATTACAATACTAATTTGTTTTCTTCCCTACTTTTTAAAGCTCTATTGATTTCTTGAATGACATATGGGTTGGGGCAAATTAAAAGTGCTATGTCCTCGTTAGGCTTTACTTAGTTTTTGTCAACAAATTTTATTTTATTTTTTGGTTTTAGATATTGGGGTTTTTGATCAAGCTGAATGGGGAATGAGGTTTTTTTTTTTCTTATTTTCTGTGGGAAGAAAATCTACAAAATGAGTTAACTTCGTAAAAGGAAAAGACAAGTAAAGGTGGTATATTGATAATAGTTAATACAAGGTTACTCCTCTTATTTTGCTACGGCATATAATAATTGTCCAATTCCAATATCAAAACTGTTTCTATTTCAGAACAAATCATTTTCAAGAGTTTATATAAATGCTCAACTCCATCCAAAGTGATGATTTTTTATTGGTAAAATCTCCTTGCTAGACTACCTTTAAAAGTTAACATTCTTAAGAGAAACGAGCTCTCGAATTAGTAGGACAATTTGTGTGCATTTTGCTCCATCTATTAAGAGACACTACATTTATTTCTTCCCTAGCTATCTTGTCCAGGTTTAAATATTCTTTCATGGCAGGTATTTACACCGCATTTCTTTCAAAAATTGCATGCATGATCACTTGCTGCAGTTTTGTGGGATAGTTAAAGGAAAGAGGAGAACACATGTTTGAATTATCTTATGGCATATTTTTATTTGGTCATCATGGAAGAATTAGGGAACAACTTTTAGAAATGAGTCTTTTGATCTTAAGTACTGTGGAAATTGCAGAACTTTAATCTTAATCAATCATTCATTTTTCAAGGGAAATAAAAAAAAGCAAGTCATGACAACACAAACTCCACACATTTGTTATTAATATAATTACTATATCTAGTAATCAATGAGAAATTATATTTACATATTAAATTTGTACAGTTTTTTCTTTATACAACAAAGAAAAAAGATAGGAAGAGAAGAAAGAAAAATATACTGTAAAAATAATCGATACTGTGAAGAAAGATAAAATAATTAATATTATAGAAAATATTACAAAAGAAAGTTATATGAGTAATATAACTTTAACCAATTTTGGTCATAGGGGCCTTCCATGAATGATGACAGAATGGCAAATGAATACATTCCTTATGATACAAGGATCAAATTATATGGGTGAAGCTTGGAAGGCCCCTATGACCATATGGAAGGCCCCTATGATCACGATAATTAAGGGGTGTGAGGATCAAGCTTCTGGTAGCATGTGATAATGGTTAAATTAAAGGAAATTCAATGGGTAGCAAATGCTGTTCCTAATCCCTAATCTAAGAGGGTGATGGTATTTTGAGGACAAACTTTACATGAGTGTTTGAGGGTAAGGAAAAGAGAAATAGGAAGACAAGAGAAAAGGAAGAAATATATATAAAAAAAGAGTGAAAATGAGACGTAAGAGAAATGCATATTTTTTTAAAACTTATTTTCCTCCTGCGGTGGACCCGCTGTATTAAGGATGGCTAACGAAATGTTATGTTTTGTTTTGTTTGAGAGTTTAGATAAAAAGAAAAAAAAAAAACTTGAATGATAATAAAGGATAAGAAAAATAAGGAGAAATAATAATTAATAAAAAAATTTAAATTAGAAGAATTTAGAAACATGAAATTATAAAGATTTTGGAGAGTTTGTAAATTTTTTCTTTCTCCTCTAAAAACTCTTAAATAAAAATAATCACCATATAAAATTTTTTCTTCCTTCTTTTTTTTTTTTCAGAAACTAACTCCAAAACAACACCATAAATATTGGCAAAAAATATTTTCTTTTTTGGTTGAGTGCTTGTTACTTTAACCATAACTTCTCACATTAGGCACCTTCATGCTTTGTTCTTGTTGCTATGACTCACGAGAGGTGCCAGTTTCTTGCCTTACAGTGGTTATTCAATGGTTAGTTACCAGTTCTGGACAGGTTCTCTTTTGAGTTTTTCAATAGAGCTAATGAAATTTAGATACCTAAAATGGATAGAATAAAATGAAAGCAAATAAAATTAGCTAAAGAGGAATGAAATAAAATTTTCATCCTATTGTTTGGGAAGTGAATGGAGTGGCAAAAAAATTAATGACTAATGACAATCTAAACAACAATAACTGATGTCATTTCTATACATTTATGTTCTATTTCATCTCTTTTTATCAATCCAATTCTACCATTGAGGTTTTGAAGCAATTCCTAGGATAAAGGGAAGCCAAAGTCTGTTGACTAGGTAATATTTACATGATAAGATGCAGATCTTTTTCTCAAACTCCCTGGGCCTCAGGGCATAGGGATCCTAAGCAGTTAATAATGTTTCCTTAAGGCTTCGATTCTTAGCGAAAGTGATGTTCTACACCAAAGTGCGGCATGGAAATTTGTCAATAAACTTCTGTTTTAGCTCTCTATGTATCATGTTTCCATCAAAACTCATGTACAAACAATACCTATATTTAATAAAATTTTAATATCTTGTTTCTCGTACCTTATTATAGGCATCGTGGGAGAGATCGAAAGAAATAAAGAAATAGATGGGTCTGTGATCTTTGAATGTATTTCTATGTAAATATCACGATTCTAATTTTCTTAAAACCAATCTGAAGCAAAATTCCTGACACTTACTAAACATATAATACAATGAATATATAGTACACACCAATCTGTAAAATAATTAATCATGACTCAAAATTGGGGAACAATTGCAGATTCAAGCTTCGTTTTGTACATCTACTAAGAAGTATTTAATAGCCGGCCTTGAAAGTTGAAACAAATTAATTTCCATCATATCATTTCCACAAAATTATTAACAAGAAGGAATTAATTAAATTAAAACTCGAAGCTAATTATCCGGGAAGGCCAGAAATAAATCTAGAAATGTATACAAAATTATATATAACAGTGTACAAATTAATTTTATGTGGACTACTTCTAACTAATTAAGGTTTCATATATATATATATATATGAACTATCCAGTGAAAATTTCCCGTGACTTTTCTTTTTCTTTCCATTCTAAGCCTATGAATCTGCATGGTGAAAACCTAATCTTGTATTCCGAAATGGTTTCAAGCTTAGGAGACCACACCTGGTCCTTAGACTTGACAAGTTGTTCATAATGCTTTTGCAACTCAGGAGTACTACAGAGGAAACTGTTGCTGGGGCTACCAGGGGCTCCATTATTCTCTTTATCTCCACTCATAAGCGTAGTGATGAACTCTGGCATGACCTTTATAAGGACCCTTCCATTAGAACCCTTCAAGTACTGAAAGGGGCATGCCCCAAACTTAATAGGGGACTTGTTAGGGCAAGATCCAAAGGCAGCAATGGAAGACAACGAGAGAGTGTCACATGCAAAGCGATCAATGGGAAGAACAAAGTAGGTTTGACCAGGCATGAGTTCATCATCTATGGATAAAGCTGGTATTGGGTGTCCAATGAAGAAAGAGTCTGCATGGCACACAATCTTGTCAGGGAACTCAAACATGATCTCACCAGCTATGTGTTTCCCTTTAAGGGATCTTGCTGTGCCTTCCCAAAAGATGAGTTTCGCTGATGATGATGATGTTGATGAGTTGGTCATGTGTTGAAAGCATGGAGTCCTCACTGCATTTCCCATTTCAAAAGGCGTTGGATATAGAGAAAGAAGAAGAGATTGGTGGGTTATATATAATATGATGGAGAAAGAAATTGACTTTTTAGATAAAATGTTGTTAATTTTATTTAAAATTATTTAATTATTATTGTTTTGGCATAAAGTTTGATGGGGTCGGTGGTCTGGTCAGCGATGCCGGCTTTGAAAATTTCACTTTCTCTTCTCTCGTGATGTGTGGGCTCTTTTAAGATACACTCTTATAGCTTGCAAAAACAACTCATACACGAACATCACAAGCTTAACCCTTGACCTTGTGTGCCAAGTACTGTTATATTCAAACCTAAAGTTGCTCACCTTTTTCCTCCAATTAATATAGTATAGGGAGAGGATTTAGGGTTTACTCTTTTTGTGGTAAAGATTAATTTACGTATGCACTATATATATGCAGACATTTTTTTGGTCTAAAGAACTAAAAGACGTTAATTAATGCATCTTATTTATGATTAAATTAATTGCATGCGTATGAAAATTCTTCAGAGACAAACTTTAATTATACGGTCCAGCGTGGAGGCCCATGTATTTATTCCATGAAAGACTAATGATCATCACAGCTTCACGATTAAAAAAGGCGTTGGAAAATTTTCTTTCTGGTAAAACTTTTAGCACATTTTTATTAAAAAAAAGTCCTATAAACGTTAGTAAATTTAACTCACAATTTTTATCAATTACGCATAATTTTGTTCTCGGATAAAAAAATGTAAAGAAAAATAACCTTGGACCGGATTTTCTGTAAGTTTAAAAGTTTTCACCCCTATAAGCGTAAAAATTAAAGGTTCCACATTTATCATCGGAAGAGTGGCTTCAAAGAATCAAACCTAAAATCTCTACTTTATCTTCACTACTTAAAACTCAAGTAACGTGAAACATTCACGTTGATTTAGAAATCTAATCACTATCCAACCACTAAGTTAGCTCCATTCAGTTCATCTTTTAGGATAAAATTAACCATCATATTGCTCTATAATTGTGCTAGCGTCATCCAAAAATATATATGAATCGAAATCATCTTCTGGGCATCTATGCTTGAATCCGTTGACTCTATCTAATCGGTGATTTGAGCTATAAAAATGAATTGATTTCTATTAGCCCAACTAATTCATTTAATATTCATAATTGAAGAATGGGTAATATTTCAAAATCAGTAGGTGTTCGTTTGGTTCTTTCCAACTAAGATTGGTTCCATAGACAAAGTTTGTTCTCTCAAAGCCACAAGTTCCCTTCGTCATAGGCTGATATTAATCGAACCCACGTCGTCGGTTTATGACCAAAGCTTATGCATATCACGTGTCCATTTGCTACTTTTCTGCAGCTACACATAAAGTCAAATGGCAGGTTAATTCCAAAACGTTTTTTATTTTTATTTTTATTTTTTTGCTTGTAGAAAAATCGAAAACCATTTTAAATTTATGTCTTGGGATGAGGTATATATAATAGAAGACCGTAAAAGTTGGTTTAAAAATGTGATGGAAAATAATATTTATATTAAAACATTTCAAATATATATATATATATATATATATATATATATATATAAGTTGATCTTAAAACATTTCAAATAATAATAAAAAATTCAGTCATCAATTATATGAAATTAGGTATATAAACTAGAAAAGTGTCTTTGCTAGAGCGAGAGGCCGAGAATTATCTTGAAACAATATTCCCTATTAAATGGTAAGTGAAAAAAAAAGGAAAGCCAGTAAACAAAACCAAATAGAAAATCATATAATTAAAATTTTGTTATTTTGATTTTTTGTTTTTTACCATGAAATGAAAAAGATATTGGTTTGAATGTTATATTCTTAATTTGAAGAAAAAGAAAAAAATTAGATGAAATGAAGTAAAATAAAATACATTTTAACATATTTTAGAGTTATTTTTGTACCAACTTGAACTTTGCTCTTAATTTATTTGTTTCAGTTAATCCAAATTAAATACGTCCTTAGAAAATTCAAAGATCAAGTTGCCCAAAACACCTCTTTCGTATAAATGTAGGATTAATTTTAAACATTACTTGTGGATTTTGAATTTCCTCAATACAAAAACTCTAAATTAAGGTATTGCTGCGATGCTTAACAAATACCTTTTTAATTTTCTTACGTCTCCATCCTTTCCTTTTTTATTTTCAAATATGGTTTAATACTTATATAATATGAATAAATGAAAAGTTCTTTCAGTTAAATTTGGATTTGGTACAGTCTCATCCATTCATTCAGTCAACAATAATACAAGGTCCATTCACTAATTTCTCTCAAAATTTCTGTTTTTTCACAAATTGTTTTAGTCTTTATTCACTACTTATTTAAGTACTATTTGCATTAGTCATGTTTCGGATGATAATTAAATTCAAATACTAGTTTATAACTATTATTAAATAGCTTATTTCAGAGGAATATCATATGCATGTGATCTTGAGTTTGTAAATAATGGAGTTGTTTTGAATAAATAACTAAAATGGGAACAATAACGAGAAGTGTTCAAAATTTGCATGTGATATAGATATCTATATAATTAGTAATCCTCAAGGCACTAAATAGCTGGCTTTTACATTGTCAATAGAACAGCTGAAAAGCAATCCTTATAAACAGAAGCTAGTTTTGAAGAAGTTCATATACGTACACATTTCGTTTTCTTTTTTCATTGACTAAGCTGTGACAGGGAAAAAAAGGATAAATTCCACAGTTAATTAAGAAGAGAAAAAACAGACAAAGAAACTAAACGAATTTCATTTTTTAAAGCTCGTGAGAAAAATAGAATCGTAGAAGAAGAGAAGCCAAGTTGATTTTATCTTTTCATTTCAATTGATATACTTTTTTTTTTTTACCTAATTTTATAATTTTTTATTTGAATTTTTCGTTGATCAAATTTGAGATAGTTCACCTATTTAAATATAAAATGCAAGTTTAGGTAGAATTTAAATTTTTATTTTACAGTCTAAATAAAAATGCAGAGTCATTTAATTATCCAAACTAACTTAAATCAAGACAAATAGTAGTATATTTATATATGTTTATTTTTATAAAAAAAAGTATACATTATTTTTAGAAGTTATTCATTAAAATTAGAGTTTTACTTTAACAAAACAGTTATATTTAATATTATAATAAATGATCAAAATAAAATCTAATCCTAATTAAAAATAATGTAAAAAAAATACTTAAATACATTACTTTAATTTTATCCATTTTTAGGTAAATTAAAAAAAATTGCACTGTTTGAGATCTACGTTTTCTCTGACTAATACAAATTATCACATATAACAAAAAGATAATTGGGGAAAATGTTTCTAAAAATATAAAAGGGAAATATATAAATTCCTATTTGTGTAGTCCTTAAGATTTTGAATGATTGTAGATTATATATATCGAAAGCTCCAATAATTATATTGTCTTTCTTGTAGATTTTTGGGGCATATGATAGCAAACAATGTGACAGTTGGAAACTTTATTATTTTATTAAGAGAGATGAAGATTGAAGACTATAATGGTGGTCTCCTTTTTCAATATAAAGAAACCAAAAGTGTTTCTTTTTGTTTGGTTCTTCGAATCGATCATGATTTAGACACATGATAAATTAATCTTTTCAGGCATCTAATCATTGTTTTTAAATAATTGGATATTGTAAGAAAGTCCAAAACCATTTTCTAGGACAAAAATTGGTTCCTTGACTCCCTGCCATGTTTATAATTTTTTTTATTTGTTTTGGGTAGTTGTGATATTTTATAGATAAGAAGCCATAAATAAATTATAAATAAGAAGGAAAAATAATATATAATAATCCAACTCAGGAATTTCCAATTTTAATACTATAAGACTGCATGATAAATGTGTTACTTGCTAAAAGCATTCCAAACTCTTTACCCTCGTTAAATTTTATATATATGGAAAATCAAATACCAGTTAATGTTATAATATTGATCTTAAATGGTGCGATGTAAATCGAATTTCAGACGATAAAATATTTACAAATCAAATTTTTAAAATTGACTACAAAAAATTAAGACATCAATTGTATGAATTTAATTTTTTTTTATATCTTTTATTAACATTTTTTCATTGTTCTTTTTAATCTATCTATCTATTTCGTTATGTTATTTATTAAGTCTCACTTTTTTTTTTCTTTCTTTGCCACTTCTCTCGTTGTATCTGTACAAACATTTCTCAAATTGTACGATCTGTACATTTTAAATTGATTTCGATCATGAAAGCGTCAAAGATATAATAGATAACGAATTCTATAAAATAAAATAATTTTATAAGTTTATTTTAAAGATTTAAAATATTGACAACAAATAAAAAATAGTTTCAAATATTGATTTCTTTTTATATGAAACGTAACGTATGTTTCTGCCTCCTTGTATTTTAATATTTATTAACAATTTGCAATATCATACTCATTACTATAAATATTTATTTGGTGTTTAATCGATGAAACTGAGTTATGAACAGTAATATGTTGAACTTACAAACATATATATTTGAATTTGGATATCCATTTGTTTTATTGAACTTCAAAATTATTTACTTTGAGATTTTTTATTTTTCGTTTTAGTTAAGCTAAATATTATGTATTGAATAATAATTCGCATTTAATTTTTAAAGAAGTGTTGAGTATAAAACTATTGTTCTGGGTTTGACTAATTCATTTAAGTCAATATTTAATATCAATTTGTGTGTGATTTTAGATTTGAAAAGCCCTTCGACTTGTGTATTAATGTTGTGTGTTTTAAAAAAAAAAAAAGACAATACATTATGATTTTTATTATAATCTTGAAATTTATTCCTAACAGTTTATAGGAAAAGATTATGATCCCCTCAACCAAAAATGAAACAATAAGATTGGAGGTAGAAAAAGTATCTGACTCAAGTGGTTTTTTTTTTTTTTTTTTTGCACACATGACCCAATTTGAGTTTACTTAACAAATAAATAAATAAAATTTAAAGGTAAAAGATGAATAAAACTTAGAGAAAAAAATATGTTATAAATGTGTTAGTTGTATGAAGCTATGACTTGACAGAATCAATTGGTAGCAACTGGATCTATCTAGCTTAAAACATTAGAGAATGAAGAAGCAAATACTAAGTAGTTTTGACAAATGAGAGTTAATATGTCAAGTGAAGTTTTCTTAAAAAAATTTCCTTCTAAAATGTTGTTTTGAGGTTAGTTACACCATAGTTGAAGTTGGCTGTTTAAAGTTTTTCTCGAGCTTCTCAACAACAATTGCTATAAATATTTTACTTTGAACGAAAATTTGTTAATGTAATTTATTAATTATTTTCCTCCAAAATACAATAGTAGTCTTCATCTTGTCAAAGACAGAGAAAATAATAGAGCACAGGATAAAAAAAAATCCCAACTTGGTACCTCTAGCATTTGTGATAAGCAATGGAAATAACCATTTAAAATTGAAAACTGAGAATTACGGGTGACAAAATTTGAAGAAAAATACCACCCCAAGAAAGTCTTTTTTAAAAATTGAATAAACCAAACTTTGAAGATGATGAACAACATCGATGTTCGTCTACAAGAATTATTAACAATTTGCCATTGCCCAATTTCCTCCATTTTGGTGGTTGATTTTGATGCCCTAGTTAATTTCCCCTTGGGTCGGTCGAATCAATGATGTAACTTCAAACATAAGTATTGAAATTAGTATGATATACATCAGATTTGTTAAGAGAATCTCATCAAAAGGCAAGAAATTACCAAACAAAGAAGACATGAGTGGGGCATAGTCTTACAAGGAAGGCAACAAAAGAGGCTAGCACAAAATTATAGTTAAACTACTGTAACTACCTCTACACAAAGGCTCAAAATTTATTAATTTAATTAGCAGCTAATTAACACTTATAGGTAAGTTAGTGAATTTTAAACGTTTTATTTTTTTTATTACAATCATGTCCTTTAGTCAAGCACTAAAACTTAAAACAATTGAGATTTTATCATCTAAATTTTTAATTCCTGGTTTGATATACTTTTTCCTCGCTTAAGCATTCAATATCAAGTTGAAGTGTGAGATTTTAAATTTACAGTTTGAAAGGAGCCGGCAGAGATATTCAGCATTATTCAAATAGAAATAACAATAATTAAAAAAAAGTATATTATATAAGTCGATGTTCTAGTTTACTTTTTGACAGAATACTATCTTATTTCACATCAAGATGAATTTTGATAATTTTTAGGTAAAAAGATTACATATTTATTAAGCATTGTTATTGCATTCTTAACCTGTTATCAACAATGAAGTACTTCGTAGGTTGTCTGGTCTTTGTTGTCAAATTATGTAAGCATGCCATAGTCAGTTTTCAACTCTCATAGTTAACAGCTCCTTATTAAATGCTATAGTCAAAACATAATATGTACAAGATTCAAAACTAGTCCTTATCTAAGTCACAATAATTGCTGGCACAAATATTTATTTATTTTTAATTACTAATAGCGGTAAAACTTTTCATTGCATATTTCTTTTACAAAGTTTTTTTTTATTAGAGAGTAGTTTTTATATGATCCACATGAATAGCACATATATCTGTTTAGTCAAATGAGCAATTTAAAGATAATATATTTATAAGCATATAGTTAGTATGACTGGTATTACATCCTTATCCATTTCCACAGTATATATATCTGTGTATATTGTTTCTCCACCATCATCAGCAATGACAATGAAACTACTGTTGACATTTTCTTCTTTGTCCACTGAAAAGTTAGAAGTCTTAATCTTCAGCCAATGAACATCATAACCATCATTGTCTATTTCATCATTAGTCTCAACCCCTCAGCCGTTAAAAACATTATGCAGCCGTAGTTTCAGTTTCTTCTACAACATTTATTAAAAAAAAGTGGCTTGTGGGTTGTTGAATAGTAATTAAGCTTTTCACCTGCTTGGGAAAATTTGAATTTGTCCCAAGGAGCAATTTGCAGGGACATTGTTCTCATGATTATGTCTTCATTCAGTGTTTCTTTTGGCTAAAATTGTTGTTTCATATACAAGTCAATTAAAAATAATTTAGTGCAATCTTTAGACAAAGCAATGATGATGTCGTTGGGTTGATAGAGTGAAATTCCTGCGGCCAAATTGTGGATTCTGGAGGTGGTGGAATTCCATAAGCCATTGAGTGGATTAGGGTGGCTTTGTCTTCAAAATTTTGACTTCTATATTTTTGAGTTCCATTAGCATTATGCTAATTTTTTTTATGTCATATTGAATTTGTAAATATTTTGAAAATCAATAATAAATAAATTTTTCTTTTTTTTATAATACATTACTATATTTTGGTTTTTGAATATTTATTGTTCAATATTCTTTAGTTTGTTTTATCTTTAAAATTTTACAATACAATTATACATATAATATTTAAATTTACATGTTTTATCATAATACTGAACAACGTAAACTTTATATTACTAGTTAAGATATCACCAGAGCCGGTTAGAATCTACAAAATTAATCTTATCAATAGATTTGATCAATTAGCTGGTCAAGTTAACCCCTACAAGTTATCAAAATTATTCATTCAATTAGTTTTAGTTTGTCATGACCTGTGTTATATTTTTAAAACTACATTGAATTTATAAAATTGATATGATGTATTCCTTATTTTAAATGTAAAGAAATTAACACTTTCAAGTTCTTACATTTTTTCAGACACATACAACTCTCTGTATATTTTTTAAGAAATGAAAAATAAATTAATAAATAACATTTTTTACAAAAATATCATTTAATAAAAAATTATTAAATATTAAAATAACTTCAATTAAATTATCTGTTTTTATTAAAAGATAAATAATTGTTGGTAAAGATTTTAAAGATCTATGTCAATAATTAGTATATATTCTAATGTTTGCATAACTAACAAAATTATTCAGTAGTATAATATGTTATATTGTTAATAAAAGTTTAAAATGTTTATAATAATAGCTTAATTGTTATTTGAAAAAAATTATATATTGATAAATGCTAATATAACTAAAATTCATTCATAAGTAATTATTTTATTTTGCAATGATTCCAAGATATACACCGATGTTTATATCATCCAACAAATTCAGCAAATTAATCTGAATGGATCCTACCCCTCTATTCTGGTCATGGCATAATTTTATAGCTGTTTGTTTTTGGCCTATACATCATCGTAGTTGATGTCTTAATTTGAAGGCTTCTGAAGATGTCACCATTGTACAAACTATTGGTCCATATACATTCATTAAGGGTCATGATTCATGCACAAATCTTACCATTTAAATGAGAATAATGATGAGAAGCCGACATTCCCTTTCATAATTAATCATTAATAAATGAAAGTTGGGTGTCTCTGCGTGTTTGTTGTTGTATAAAATGGAATATGAATTATAATTTAACAAATCAAAATTGAAGGTAAAGGTAAATTGATCCATTCTTTAAAAGTTATTTTAACGAATGAAATTAGCAATCAGGTTTTATAAATGAATAATACTACACATGTATCTTTCCAGAGGTGATTTGGGCTTTGATTATGCCAGGGTTTTAACTTTTATGGGAAAAGATATATATAATTTGCTTGCGAGAAACGAACACAAAGGAAAAATCTCCAGTTTCTTTTATGTTTCATTTTTTGCCTTTTAATTGAACAATAACTCGTTATTAAAAAATTAAATCTTTTTAAAATGTTGTCATTCATACAAATCAAGGGAAGAGTTCCTTCCAGGAAAATGATGAGCATGAATGTAAAATGCTTGCCTTTGTTGCGAGCCTTTTTATCTTGTTTATCCTGGAAATCAGATTCATGCAAGGAGCCAAAGTCAGCTCCTTCTATATATGAATCTTGGGAACTTAATTTAGTATAATATGAATCATATCTCTGCAAATGCACAAGTAGAAGAGAGTGGGAAAGCAAGGATATTTATGTCACAGTAATATACTGTTTGTCATGTTTCAAAAAGGATAAGTTTAAGAGTGTTCAACAGCAATGAAAAGATTTTACAATAGGATTAAGCAGGCACAAGAATAAAATTACTGTTAGAACTCACAAAGCACCCACAGCTTCTAATCTGTTAAAAAATTTACCTTACGGTCAAAATGACTTGAAACAATGGAAAAGTTGTACAATTTCTTTCATGTTTTCTTTCCTCTTAAGCAAAGGTAAGAAATAACAGGGCCACATTTAGTTCATTAAAATAATCATTCCATTTTAGCCACATTTTATTTGTCATTCTTTGGGAATCACCATTCTTTGTTTTAGGATAGAAATCTCATTCCAAGAAATGATCGTTCCTACCAAGAAATATAGGAATCTTTTGCTATTTTGTTGAGTCTTTGACAGGATTGATCTTAAAACATTTATCAAAATTCGAAACAGTTCACAAATTATGTATGTGTATTCAATTCATATGTTGGGTAATATTATAATGTGTAAAAATTGAAGTAAAGTTTATTATTTTGATTTTTCAAGTCCAAGGTTTTTTTTGACACAAAGCTATTCCATTCATTCCATTTCTATCTAATCCTAATTAAACACCAACTCGATGACTTGTAATTGGAATATCACTCCATTCCCCTACATGTCATTCTCTTTACCATTCCATTATACCATACTTTTAGACTACATGAATCTTCCTAAAGTCAAACATAATTTTGAAACCAATATAATTGCAAGATTATTAGATCCACTTTCCCTGCCACTTTTGATGAAATCCAAACCTTAAAAACAACAGAGATATTAAAAAGAAAATTCTGGTAAGGAGTGACAGGATCTTAGGTTTGACCACAAGAGGTACTTATAGAGCTCAGCTATGAAAGGTCAGTTAAGGGTAAGGACATAATTGAAAACTACTTTCAGAGAGAAATGGAATAAATTAATGTCATACAAATCATGAGAGTCAACAAGTCAGAGCTGGGTTTTTCTGGTATATTTTCTGGGCTTGTTTTGAGTAAATCATTCCTTCTCATCATAAGCTTGTAGCATAAATAATCAGGTGGCTGCTCAATCTTTCAAACATGCATTATACGATTAAACAGACAGCATTTAAATACTAGACTCATGAGAAATGCATTACAATGGTCCACTTACAGAGCCAAGATTGGGTTGCCTTTTTACAGCTGAGATTTCTGGAGAATTTGGATGCGGAGGATTTGCAACACCATATTGTTCTGCCATAGCATTCATTACATCATAGAGGTAAGAATCTCAATTTATTCTTAAAATGACTTGATGCAGTTAGAAATATGGTCTAGAGTTCATGAAAGAGAAAATAAAATCCTTACACCTTAGCTAAGACCAAATATTTATAGTAAAGCATCACATTGCGTCTCTCTACAGGAATTAGCTCTCCAAATTTAAGGATAACTAAAGCCGCAACTGCTTCAGTATATGTTTGCTGTGTCTTTTGGGCATTTACAAACAAGCAAATACTAATGCCAGACATCAGCTTAAGAAAAAGGTAAATTGAGCTACATGAAGGAAATAACTTCTCAAGGTCACTTGGTGCTGATGCTAAAAAAACATATCCAAAGCCTCAAATCATAAAAAGTAAAAACATTGATTTATGAGCAGTTACATAACATAAGGCGTATAAACTAGATCATACGTGAACAACCTTTTGACAATCTTAATATAGACCATAAAATAATCTCATTAATTGTTATTGACTCTATTAGTTTAACACTAAGAAGAGAACTGCTTAAATTCCCTAAAGCATATAAAATAATCATCCCAATGCATAGCATATAAACATGATGCAGGTTAATTTGAAAATCTTTATTTTCTGTTCTAGAAACAACTCATCCCTTATCACACTAAGTTTTATCATTAAGCATTCACTGCTATGTCAAAAAAATAATGCTGAATATAATTTTTTCACAATTTGATGCTTACAACATTTCCTTTAACCCAAAAAGGAAATTATATTGTTTAAATAATAAAAAAAATTTCAGTCATACAAATAAACTTACCATAGGTGGCGATTAATGGCCATTCTCACACTACACAAGAGCAAGAAAAAAAGAATGCTTTAACCTAAGAACTTAATTCTGTATTATAAGCATGAAAAAAGCAGCACCAAGGGATTCATAATTGGGTAGCTATACGAAACATGCCTTCACTTTTTCTTCGTTACCAACCAAGGCGCAAAGGCTCACTTACATGTTAGGCCACAGAAGACATACACCAGGGTCCAGGGTTGTGCTTCCTGCGATATGCAGAACCAGGGCCGAGGAAAGACACAGGCATAGTCCACAACCAGACCTAATAACACATAACAAACATACAGCTGAATAAGTAAAATTGTCACAAACTCACAATGATACAAAATTAATGCTTATAACCGAATGAGGCAAGTTTAGATGACACTCAAGGATAGAATGTTCAACCCCAACCTTTAAATCAGGTATTTATAACAAAGGGATGTTATGTTCCACGAACTGCAACGGTAAAATTCTTAGAATTTGTCATCTGGCACAAATCCCCTTTGAAGCATTTCATCATGGAAATGGAATGCCTTTTTCAGGTTGTCTTGCGAGACATGCCCATTTATCAATGATGTGTACGTTGATCTATCTGGATTGACACCATTGTCAATCATCTTATGTAATACCATCTCAGCCTCTTTCATTCTGCCTTGCCTACAATATCCACTAAGAATTGCATTATATGTTATAACATCAGGCAGTAGTCCTTGTTCTTCCATGTTATTAATCAACACAAATGCTCTGTCCAAATTCTCTTCCTTTACAAAACCATTTATAAGAGTATTATATGTAATGCAATCTGGAGAAACTCCTTCCGAAATCATCTTATTCAAGAAGTCATTTGCCTTTGACACATTGCCCGCTCGCAAATAGCCCTTTATAATGGTGTTGCAAGTAACCAGGGTGGGCCTAACATCTTTTTCTATCATTTCATCCCACAGCCTGAATGCTTCACACATTAGCCCTGAACTGCAAAACCCATTTATTAAAATGCTAAACGATATGTAGCTGGGCAATATTTCCCTTCTTATCATATCACACCACAACTCCTTAGCTCTCTCCATTTCCCCGATTTTGCAGAAGCCATCCATCAACGTATTATATGTCACAACATCGGGCTTAAGGCTCCTTTGAGTCATGCTCTCAAACAAACTAAGCGCTCTAGTCATGTTTCCATCCTTACAATAGCCATGAATGAGAGTGGTGAGAGTGTAGAAATCAGGAAAAATTCCCCTTTCCACCATCTCCTTAAAAAGCTCATCAGCATCAACAAGCATTTTCCCCCTACACAATCCATTCAACAGAGTATTATATGTAACCACATCCATAACACAACCCTGCTCAACCATTTCATTCCTCACCTTCAAAGCCTCAGCCATATTGCCATTCCTACAATACCCATCAATAAGAATAGTATAAATCACAGTATCAGGAACCAACCCAGCACCTTTCATATCCTTAAAATACGCCAAGGCCCGATCAAAGTACCCATTTCTTGAAAACACCCCAATGATTGAACCAAAACTAACCAAATCAGGAACAACACCACAACCCAACATTTCATTAAAAACCTTCTCAGCCTCACAAATATCATCCTTCCTACAACTTTCCACCAACAAAGGGTTAAATGTGGCAGCATCAGGACTCAACCCTATCCCCAACATCTCATCCAAAACACTCCTCGCTCTCTCATAACTTCCCTTCTTACACAAACCATTGATAATAGCATTATAAGTGTAAATACCAGGTTCCAACCCCACACCCTTCATCGAGTTCATCAATTCAAAAGCTTCTAACACAAACCCTTGACGACAATTCGCATTAATTAGAGTATTATAGGTGACAACATCAGGGTAAACACCCTTATCCTCCATGCTAGACAAAAAAACCTTAACTTTGTCAAACTTTCCATCTTTACACAAAGCATTAACCATGATGTTAAGGGTATAAACATTAACCTGTGTCCCACTTGTGACAACATCCTCGTACACGGTCCAAGCCAAATCTACCCACCCAATTTTCACAAGAGCAGATAGAAGAGCATTGGAAGCGTTAATGGAAACGCAAAAACCCCTTTTTTTCAACAAGCGAAAAGCCTCAGACCCTTCTCTCAATTTTCTAGCTTGAACATAAGTTCTTATTAACAAATCAAAAACGGTGGCATTTAGGGTGGAATCTGCGCGCGTGGGAGAAGGAGGAAGAAGGAGAGAATCGATGAGTTGGGAACGTGAAACGCGCGTGTTTGTGATGATTCGAAGGAGAAGGGCTTGAGCTTCTGGAAAGTTCCGGGAACGAAGGAGATTGTGAATGGTGGGGCCCAGATAGGGTGAGGAGTGTGGAGTTAGGTTGTGTATCAGTTTGGCCATTGATGTGTGAAGGAGAAGTTGGGAATGGGGGGAGACGACACAGAAGAAAACATTGAATGATCCGACCCAACCTATACCTACGCAATCACATGTACCCAAGTAAACAACATACGTTCATCCTTTTGGTTGGAGAGAAAGTTCATCAAAGAAAAGTAGACGGGAAATTTTTGGAGTTTTATGCTGTTTGGGATAAGACAGTAAATAAAGGTAAAGAAAAAATTTACGTTTGAGACTTAAGGCGTGTTTAATAAGAGATTAATTTACAAAAAATATGTGTTTTTTTTAATTAAGTGAAAATAATTTTTAAATTAATTAAATCGATCTTCTTTTCATGATGAGAAAATTAAAAGAGAAATAAATAAAATGTGATTTTGAATTTTCTATCCTTGTTTAAACATTCTATTCATCTAGAGTTATAAACATGTAGAAGTAAGAGATCTTTATAATTTATTTTAGTTTACTCATAAAATTTAGTTAAAATATATTTTAATATGTTCACGAGTTTAGGAATAGGTTTAAACTTTTTTTTTTCCTAATAGAATGGGTTTAAACTTTGTTTTGAGTCAACTTAATACTTTATATTTTTTATTTTGTTATAAATAGTAAGATTTATTGATTTAATTAATAGTTCTCTATAACATGATAACATTGTTGTATTAATTTTATTTATTATGAATTATATATTATGAAATATATTTTAAGTGTATGTTTCTTTTTTTTATAATCTAAGTAATGTATATAATATATTTATTTAAGAAGTTTTTTACATGATAATTTATGTAATAAATATAATTATAATTTTTATAAAAATAAGTTATCTTAAAAATTTATCATAATTTATTTTCAGATAATCTTTAGTCATAATTAATTAGTGTTTTGCAATTAGCAGAATTTAAAATTTGCTCAAAAATATTAAATTTATTAAGTTTAGTCATATTTTTTGTAAGACAAAATAAAGTGTCGATTGATTGGCTAAGTTGAGTCTTAATATTTGTCAACTTTTTTCTTTTTCTGATAAGACTCTTTTTATTTTTATTTTTTTTAAGATTGGATTTTTTAAGTTTTTTTTAACTTAAACATGCTATCTAATTTTTTTATTTAAAAGTTTAGCCTTATTTAATAAAAAAAATAAAAAAATTAGTGTTTTATTTTTATTCAACAATAACTCTTGATTTAAATTTAATTTATTTGTAAATTTAGTAATTAATTATTTTTAATATAGATGAATTTGTTTTAAAAAAAATCTATGAATAAATTCAACTCATAAACATACTTTAAAAGTTGCAATTTGAGTAAATTGATATATATTTTAAAAATCAATGCTTAAAATTATTAAAATTTCAAGAATTAAAATTTTAATTCATAATTATAAGTTACATCTTTATATTGTTTAAAATATACACTTCTCAATTGAAAAAATTTAAGTTGATCGTATTAAAAAATTCAACACTTCTAAAATATGAATTTTACTTTAAACGATAAAGTAAAAATTAACTGATTATTAATTAAACAACAATAGTTAACATTTTAATAATTTTATAATTTATTATACACGTAGATATATTTATCACCGTATCAACAGTGTTATCCAAATGGTGAATAAAGTGAAAGATTAGTGTGAATTTTTGTTAAGTTAAAAATGAATACAATGAAAACTTATAATTTGAGAGATTAAAATAGATATTTATCTTAAGAGATTTAAATAGATATTTTCACGATATAAATTACAAAGAGATTTTTTTCCCCTAAGAATAAGGATTTTAGATATTAATTTTATTATCTCACTAATTAAAGTTGATTAAATTTATAACAGAAGACACAAATTTTCATCTATATTTTTTTATAATGGCCAAAATTTAAAATCAGTATAAATTACATGGGATTAATTTCCCTAAATATATTTATATTAAAATTTTTAATTTATTCATGAGGAATGCAAAAACTGATTGGAACAAGCAAAATACGACATAAGACGAATTGAAATTGTTTCTTTTGTTCAGCCTTTGTCTTTCCATCTTCACCAGAAGCTCCTTTCTCTGTTCCTAAGCGGAGTTAGGGGGTCAAATTGAAAACCAAAACGCATACAATTACAATAACACGTTAATGCTAATGTCGCATTCCCTTTTTCGTTTGCCGTAAACGGGTCTCGTTTTTCTCATAACCCACTGAAAAATTTTGCAGCTTTGCCCCCAAAACTTGAACAGAGGATCTCTATTCACCCAATTCCTCATCCCCATGGAAGGTATTGTGTTCCCATCTTCAACTTTGGTCTTATCAGAGATTTGGGTCTTTGATTTGGTGGTTGATTTTGTTCAGATTAGTTCAATTTTCATGCATTAAATTTGAATGATTGGTGTTGATTGAAACCCAGAGTGTGGATTGTTTGCATTAGGTTGTTGTAATTGTTGGTATGACACCAAGGAGTTGAATTTGGGGACTTTGGGTTCTGGGAAACTAAGTAAAACTAGAGGGTGTTAATGGGGTTTGATTAATTTTGATCATAATTGAAATTTAGTATTCGATGTCTTCATACATTTTTGTCTTCCATGCTTTTTTTATCCTATGATTTGAAAAGGTTTTTGTTTGGTCAGTCAATGACCATAAACCGGTGTCTACGGTTGGATCTACTTTCCGTGTGGGATGTGTGGAATTAGGCTTGGTTGCTATTGCTGTCCTTTGTGAAAGATTAGCAAAAATCATGCATTCTTCGTGAAAAACTGTGAGATTTTGATTTTTTCTTAATTATGTTTTACTTAATTGAGATTAGAATTTTTTGAAGAAATAAGGAACCTGTTACTGATCCGTTGCAACAAATAAGCTGTTTGTAGCAAACTTTTATCATATGAAAAATAATATTAATGCTAGTGTGCACTTAGTGGATGTGTTTGAATGTCAACTTTTCTCACTATTAATTATTAATGTTTCGATATATGCGAGCATTTGCACAACCATGTCTCTATATTTGATCGTCTTAGAATAGACATCAATACTTAGAATGAACTTTTTTTATTCTGCTTTTTCTCCGCCCCCAAATTTGGATTTGTCTGGTTGCTCTCTGCCTTGATTTTTTAAATGACCAATACTCACGCCTGGGATTTCAGCTCCCTTATGCCTTGTGATGGAGATTGAATTACGATCTAATTAAATATTATTTAGGATTTTAAATTGGTTTCATGTTTAGGGTAATTAGTTAGTTTGGATTTTCTTTAGAGTTTGTAATCTTGATCGTATGTTCAGGATTTTATCTTTTTTTTGTTGGTGCATATATAGACCCTCTTAATAGACATTATGCAGGTTTTTTCTGTTGAATAATAACCATTTTCTTTGAGAGTATCTAACTTGAGTCAAAGGAATACTCCACACACCTGGACTCTGGAGTGGTGTTCTAGGGTTTCTTTCTCCAAATTTAAGGATAGCCTTTTTCATTTTGTCATCACTGTTCTGCCCTTAGTATATAGTCGTGTGTGTGATTCCATGACATTTATGGATCAATTTGAGTGGTTAATATGACAGAAGATGTTTGTTGACTATTGTATCGTCTTGCATGCATTACTGTAATTATTTTATTTTTCCCATTCTAACACGTGCTAAACCCCCTGCTTTTCTTTGGTGTTTAGAATCAAGTGAACTGCAGTCAGAAGAAAATAAAGTCTCCATGGAGAAAAATAAGAAAAGAAAACTGAAAACACCTGCCCAGGTTATGGCTTTGGAGAAATTTTATAATGGTAGGAATATACTTTTTTGTCACATATATATATACGTGTGTGTGTGTGTGTGTGAATTTATCTTGCAAAGGGGTAATTTTTGAGGAATTTCATTTTTTTTCACCTTTGTTTCCAGTGCACAAATATCCTACAGAGGAAATGAAAGTAGAACTTGCTGAGGAGTTAGGATTGACAGAAAAGCAGATATCTGGATGGTTTTGTCACAGACGGTTAAAAGACAAAAGATTGTCAAAAGATGAAACTGTTGCTAATGGACGACAAGATCGTTCAAGTGGTGTCATCCAGGATCGTGGCAGTGGACTTGGGCAAGATTCATGTGGAAGCAGTAAACATGCTGATTATAAGTATCTGGATCCTAAGGAGGTTGAGAGCCATGGCCTCTACAATCATGAATTTTCAGTTGCAGATATGACCCATGGACGTAGGAACTGTTATCGTGAAAACGACAGTGAAATGGATGACACATCCTCTGAGAGCAGCTCATTTTTGCAAGAAAGGTTGTTTCCTCAAGGCCAGGATCCGTATGATATGGAGCCTTCTAGATATCTTACACCTAACGGAGCTCTTCCACCTGTAAATCCCAAAGGTGCAATTAACATGGGATATAAACCATCAGGATATTTGAAAGTGAAGGGTGAGATAGAACATGCTGCTATAACTGCTGTTAAGAAGCAATTAGGAAGGCATTACCACGAAGATGGTCCACTACTTGGCGTAGAATTTGATCCACTTCCCCCAGGTGCATTTGAAGGCCAAACTGCTGATCTAGTTAATGGTAGGTTGTACCATATTCTGTTTTCCCATTTTTTTCAATGTTGTTCAATTAGTTTTGTATGACTGAAATGATTTTTAGTATTTAAATAATTTCTGTTTTGGGTCAAAGGATATGTTGTAAGCATCAAATTGTGAAAAAATTATATTCACCATTATTTTTTTGACATAGCAGTGAATGCTTGATGATAAAACTTGGTGTGATAGGGGGTGAGTTGTTTCTAGAACAGAAAATAAATATTTTTGAACTAACCTGCATCATGTTTAGATGCTATGCATTGGGATGATTATTTTATATGCTTTTAGGGAATTTAAGCAGTTGTCTTCTTAGCATTAAACTAATTGAATCAATAACAATTAATCTCATGAGATTATTTTATGGTCTATATTAAGATTGTCAAAAGGTTGTTGTTCACGTATGATCTAGTTTATATGCCTTACGTCACTACTCATAAATCAGGGTTTTTACTTTTTATGATTTGAGGCTTTGGATATGATTTTTTAGCATCAGCACCAAGTTACTTTAAGAAGTTAAGTTTTCAAAACTATATTTTAGTTACTTCCTTCATCTAGCTAAATTTACCTTTTTCTTAAGCTGATGGCTTGCATCAATATTTGCTTGTTTGTAAATGCCCAAAAGACACAGCAAACATGTATTGAAGGAGTTGCGGTTTTAGTTATCCTTAAATTTGGAGAGCTAATTCCTGTAGAGAGATGCAATGTGATGCTTTACTATAAATTTTTGGTCTTAGCTAGGGTGTAAGGGTTTTATTTTCTCTTTCATTAACTCTAAACCATATTTCTAACTGGATCAAGTCATTTTAAGAATAAATTGAGATTCTTACCTTTATAATCTAATGAATGCTATGGCAGAACCATATGGTGTTGCAAATCCTCCTCATCCAAATTCTCCAGAAATCTCAGCTGTAAAAAGGCAACCCAATCTTAGCTCTGTAAGTGGACCTTTGTAATGCATTTCTTATGATTCTAGTATTTAAATACTGTCTGTTTAATTGTATAATACATGTTTGAGAGATTGAGCAGCCGCCTGATTATTTATGCTACAAGCATATGATGAGAAGGAATGATTTACTCAAAACAAGCCCAGAAAACATACCAGAAAAACCCAGCTCTGACTTGTTGACTCTCATAATTTGTATAACATTAACCTTTAACTGACCTTTGATAGCTCTATAAGTATTTAAGGTTTGGATTTCGTCAAGAGTGGCAGGGAAAATGGATCTAATCATCTTGCAATTATATTGGTTTCAGAATTATTATGTTTGACTTTAAGAAGATTCATGTAGTCTAAAAATACGGTATAAGAGAATGGTCAAGAGAATGACATGTAGGGAATGGAGTGATATTCCAATTACAAGTCATCGAGTTGGTATTTGTTTAATTAGGATTAGATAGAAATGGAATGAATGGAATAGCTTTGTGACAAAAAAAAAAAACCTTGGACTTGAAAAATCAAAATAATAAATTTTGCTTCAATTTTTACTCATTATAATATTACCCAACATATGAATTGAATACACTTGTGAACTGTTTTGAATTTTGATAAATGTTTAAGATCAATCTTGTCAATGACTCTAACAAAATAGCAAAAGATTCCTATCTTTCTTTTTAGCAATGATCATTCCTTGGAATGAGATTTCTATCCTAAAACAAAGAATGGTGATTCCCAAAGAATGACAAATAAAATGTGGCTAAAATGGACTGATTATTTTAATGAACTAAATTTGACCCTTTTATTTATTACCTTTGCTTAAGAGGAAAGAAAATATGAAAGAAATTGTACAACTTTTCTGTTGTTTAAAAGTCTTTTTGACCGCAGGGTAAATGTTTTAACAGATTAGAAGTTGTGGGTGCTTTATGAGTTCTAACAGTAATTTTACTCTTGTGCCTGCTCAATCCTCCTGTAAAATCTTTTCATTGCTGTTGAACACCCTTAAACTTATCCTGTTTGAAAACATAACAAACAGTGTATTACCGTGACATAAATATCCTTGCTTCCTCACTTTCTTCTACTTGTGCGTTGCAGAGATATGATTCATATAATGCTAAATTTAATTCCCAAGATTCACATATAGAAGGAGCTGACTTTGGCTCCTTGCATGAATCTGATTTCCAGGATAAACAAGATAAAAAAGCCCGCCAGAATATAAAACAAAGGCAAGCATTTTATAGTCATGCTCATCATTTTCCTGGAAGGAACTCTTCCCTAGATTTGTATGAAGACTCTCCTGGAGAAGCATCTGCTTATAATAGTAAGAATCATAGAATGAGCACTAAGCATGGTGTTGAGGGGATGAGATCTGATTCTGCTTCTAACCACAGTGATCATTATGAAGAGAAGCTTGCAGTTAAGCAGACAGACTTGCTGCGACACGGTTATGATAACATCAAGCCAAAGAATATACAACGGAGAGAACACGTAAAATCTAAACCGTCAAGTTCAATTCGAAATTCCCGAGTTTCTATGGATACTGAAGAAAGGGGGTTATCTGCTAGGATCACAAAGGTTCATTAATATATTTGCACTTTCTCTGTGTCTTGCATGTCCAATGTTGAATTTATCCTGCTTACAGTTGGTTAAAATTCTTATATTTTGTTTCATATGTACAGGAAGAGATGTTTAAGGGGGACAGGAAGACAAAAAATACATATCGTGATGTAGATGGAGCAGGGATGCTTTCAAATGAAATCACAGTGAGTTTTAGATGTCTAAATTGTAATGTGTTTATTTGATTTTCTTTTGAGTTAACTCCCCTTTTCTATGAATGTATATGATGTTTCTCTTTACTATGTGTGTAGGTTGCAAAACGAGTTAAAGTTGATACATTTCAACAATACAAAATGAAAAACTCACCTGGTGCTGAGATGGAACAAAGGAAAAATCAGAGGTCATTATTTATATTTGTTTGCTTTTGTCTGTCATGATTATGCAATTGCTCGGGTCCTCTTAAGAAATTTTTGAGATCATCTGCATGTCTATGTTTGTTTTTCTTGCTTTTTGTGGTGCCAATGTGACCAATAATTTTCTCTGTAGATTATTTAGGTAGAGTTTGAGGTAGCTATTATTGGGCATTTCTTCTTAAAGGAAAATTTGAGCCAAACACAATTTTAAAAAAGCTCTTAAAAATAAAATAGCTTCTTTTCATGAACAAAACCCCAAAAACATAGTTTCTTAGGAGCTAATTGAAAGTGCCTTTACTTTAAAGGGAAAAAGAAGCCTTAAAATGTTGAGCCAAACACTACCTTAGCAGTATTTATTTTTATAATTTAGATTTTTTATGTTTGGGTGAATGTTGCTTGCCTCATGAAAATGAGGTTTCACTTTCATCTATACCAACAGTAATAATGATGAGGCAGTAGACAGTAATGGATGTTGGAAATCCATATTAATTTTATTTTTAGTGGTAAAGATCATGCCTGTGGTGTTGGTTCCAGATTCTTTCATCAAGTTCTTCAATTAAATGATAATATTTATTTTACATTTTGCAATATACTTAATTAACTATTATTCGAAATAGCATCCGTGTGTCTCATTTGAATGGAGAACTTGATGGCAAGATACAAAGAACTTGATCTAAGTTTTGTCTGTCAACTTGTTGTGTATGAGCTTAAAAGGTAAAATTGACAGTTTTCTGCTTTTACTTAGAAAGTTTTCATCCAAATTGTTATTGGACATAGGCCTCTTTTCTAAAGCATTATGTATGATCATGTAGATCAGCTGCAGAGATGCCGTCTAGTTTTAGCGAGGATGAAACTGCTGACACCAGTTCCTCACTGGATTATTAAGTGCTGTTGATAGATGGTGAAAGTGTGGCAGAGTTTCTCTATGCCATTGGGTATGTACAGTCTAAAAAGACACATACATTTTCCCACTAACATGGGAAGCACTGTTTCTAGAAGCAATAGTAGTCACACGACTTACTGACTCCATTTGCTGTTTGTTCCTATTTGCCTTTGTAAAAAAATGCCCTTGTTATTTTTTTGATGTAAAATTCTCATTTTCTGCAGCTGATTGTGGTAGGTAGGAGGTATCAAAATGCAGCTTTACATACATGTCATTTGTCTTATTGGTTTAATTATGGTAGTGCGTTTGGCATCCTAATTTGATCCTTGCTTGAGAGAGTTAGCTACTTCTACTTTATGCTTTTTAACAATTTGTTTCATTAGTTTTGTATTGATTACCCCACATTCATGTCCGTCTAGTGTGGACATTATTCACTAGTTGGTGGGATTTAAACTTACTAGTGTAATTGTGTGTACATCCCACGTTTAATTAGTAGGTTTAGTTTGAAATCCTTCTCACTTAACAATAATAGAAGTCTTGTGATGGAAAATTTAACTTCTGTCTTTGCTCTTAAAACTTATAATTACGTTAAGTAAGTATCCCTTTCTTGGCGTAGGGTTTTGTCCATTTATTGGGTACTATTTCACAATTAGGTAGAATAAGCTAATGTAACCAGTTTAGTACTAGTGTTCTTTTTGCTTTTAAACATGGCTCATGCGCATCATGTTGTTGTCTTAATTTGGTATAATAATACTATGTTTAGAACGCTTGAACATGTATAATATATAATATAATAAGAAATAATATCATTTAAATGCATATTTTGCAAATCCAATTTGGAAAAACTTTTATGTCTCATCTTAACTTGTGTTTCCAAAATTTCTATCATTTCATCCTTATTCATTATCCTATGATTAGAAGAAGAGAAAAGACAGACACGTATGATTAGTGAACAGTCACATGTGATTAGCGAACAGTTGATGCAAACAAAAAAACAAAATTTGTAACTAAAAAACGATAAAGAAACAAATTGGGCCCTGGCTAATTTGTATAGAAATATAATTATTCAATTCAAGTTGGGCTAAACTCTTGTTATGGTATTTTTTGTGTGGGCCCCTGAGTTTCGGAATTTGGTGATTTCTTTAAACACTCCATACATAAATTCAATTTCGGCCATCAATTTCAAAATTTAATTTAGCAATTAATAATTAATATATTTTGAAATTTTATTTTTGAAAGGTACAAAAAATGATGTATTTAGAAAGAAAAAAAGTTGCAAAAAAGCGTTGACTTCTGGTGTGGTGCATCTTGAAATGTAAAATGTTCAAATGTGTGTGTTGTCTAGTGTAACCTTGTGTGAATTGGTTCTTACCTTTTGGATTTTCTTTCAATCAACTACCAAATCCTAGTACAATGGATACCTGACTAGGAAGCTGTTGGTCGGTAAATGCTTTATGCAGTACGTGCATGGCCCTTATTTTTATATTTTTTTTACCATGAAAAATAGTAGATGATGAGCTAATTAATGCACACAGAATTGGAAACCAAGGACTTGTTTAAGAAGAAGAATTTTGAAAAGAAGGAAATGAGAGAGTAAAATTTTCATTTTAGATAAATATACTTTAATTTAATAATTTTACAAATTTTGAAATGATAGATCAACATTAGCATAGTGTATTAATCATTTATATATTATCATAAATAATTTATAATTCTATTAATTTTAAAATTAAAAAAAAATAGCTTTATTTCTTCCCCTCTAAAATTCTCTGTTTTGAAAATGTAAGGAGGGTACCGAAAATCATATGTTGTATTGCTTTTAAAGGGTCACTATAATTTCTCCTGTACGTAACCACGTGTGAATGCACATTGCTAAATCATATATTATTTTAATAAAAGGTTTTCATACTCTTTTTATTGGACGTTACTATCTAATTAGTAAAGCACTCAATAATTTGCACATACTTTTATAACTTTCCCCTACCCATATTCACATATACAAAAAAATCTAGCTTCAAATTAGTAACTATCTATTTTAAAGGAAAAAAAATGTATATAATGCTACAAAAGTCAAATTTTGATATTATATGGAACAGATCTTCTATAAGGGATTGGGGATTATCTAACACCATACTATGAATCTGGGCTGAGAACGAAATTGCACCAGAAGAGAGTTTGATTCACTTTAATAATTGTAAGGACCACAGTAGCAACTCAAAACGGAGTGAAAGAACAATCCTTCACAATAGTCATGTTTAAAAGATTAACACTATTGAAGACCAAAAATAAAAATAAAAGATGAGCACTATTGAAAACATTGGGCAAATGATATGTTCTCTATCTCATATATGTTAAAATTGACAAATAAACTTTTAAAAGGTTTGGTCGACTTCTCAAAATAATTGTGAAGTGAAACTTTACTTCAATTTGAAGGATATTTCTCTCTACATTACCCCCATATACCAATGTCCATGTCCTTGCTTGGTAATCGCACCATGTGTAAATATGCCTTAATTTATGTAACTATCTATATACTAATGACTATTATTATAGTTTAATAATAGTTAGCTTTTGCTTTCTTATGAACTTTAACTTCTTTTCACAAAAGTATCGAGTATTGTTCTAATAAATTTCCATGGTCTTGTTTTATCTTCATCTTCTTTTTTTTGTTAAATATTCAAGAGATGTGCTTTATGACATATATGGGTAAGTAATTGATTCAAGTGAATTATTAAGTTGGTTATGTAATTGAGTGGTGCGAACCAATTTAAAACGGATCTAAATTAGGCTAAATCAGTTTATGAAGTGATAATTAATTGTTGTTATATAACAATTACACATTATTGATCTTTTAAAACTTTTTCAATGGGTAGAACTCTTTTATCAATGGTGTTGCTGCTTCTCTTTTAATAGTTCTAAGCGACAAAGTGCAAAGGTAACAATATCTATAACAGATATATTGATGCTTAAATTTGGCAATATATTTCAGCAATTATAGAGTTTTTACTTTATCAATGTTGTCTTTTTAATTAGTTATATATACAATTAATTATCTGTGTAAGATGTTATAACATTGGCTATTTTTTTTTATTAGAGCTCTTTTTGTAACTTCTTCTCTATTAGAATTTCACGTGACTTTCTTTTAGTTTTAGTATTTTAAAATCTTACTTTGCACGTGTAATTATGTTAAAACCTAAGAATTAATATGCTTATATATTAATCATAGTATATACTTAAAATAATAAGTAAAGTTTAAAGGTGCATTCAGGCAGCACACTAAACAGTTTAATTAAATACCCATTCAATATAACTTTATTATGAGAATTTATAATATAAATTTGATCATGAAACTAATTAAAATATATATTTTAAATAACTATTTTTTATAAATCATATAAAAAATTATTAAAAAAATATTACAATAAAAAAATTTACATTGGTGGAATAATAATATTTTTTCTTTGTCAACACACTGACAATAAATCTGAGGGCATATAAGCAAGAATATCTCAGATCTAAAATGTCTAAGACATTTTAAATAAATAAATCATTAAAATTTAAGTTCAATCACTGACTTTTACTTTTAGATTGGATTTAATTCAAAATTTGAATATGATATTAGGAGTCATAATTAAAAAATATCAAACATAAAAAAGAAATACAACATATTCAATATAAGGCTTCAAAATTAGATTAGTTTAGGACAATTATAACGTTTGTATTATTATATTAATTACACTAATTAACGATATTCATAACATCTTAATCAAGTCAATGGACAGATCCAATTTAATGAAATAGGTAGTGAGTCATAACTCTGTGTACAACTTTTGAAAGGACGTGTTTGAAAGGATATTTGGGAAGTACAATCTAATTAAAATATTGGTGTGAACTAACATGCACCGGGGTCAATTTAAGCTATCTCCACCTAATTCAACACTGAAACTAACAAATATAATTATACATATTTAATTAAATAATTAGACCACATTTTTTAATAAATTTTTAGTTGTTCTAAATTTTATTATATTTTTTAAAACATTCCAAATTCTAAGCACACATCATATCCTTTTCCCACATGATATGAAAGTAACGTAACTGTTATGAATTCCTAAAGATTTAGAGACTAAAGCCTTTTCATCATTAATGCTTCATTTGGTGTAGTGGAAGAAAAACCAAGGAAAGAAATAAAATAAGAATAGAAAAATAACTTTTATTTAGCTTAATTCAGTAATTAATTTTTATAACATTGTTAGTTTTAATTTTAATCTCTATAAACTTTTATTTTATTTTAATTCTTAGAAAGTATAAAAAAATAAATAATTTTTGTCTAACAAAGGTTATAATCATGTCCTTTTAAACATAAGAACTAAAATTAAATAAAATTTTACTGAGACTAAAAAAATGGTGATATTCTTAAGAATGAAAAAATATTAGTAATAAAATTTTAATTATATATTAAAATTTATTAAAAAATATTAAAGTTAGGTAATTTTACTTTTTTATCCAAAATTTAATTATTTTTTATATTTTTATTTTCAATAATTTTAATTATTAATTAAGAGCATGTCAAAAAAGTATATTACAGAATGTATTTTTAGCACTCCTTTTTAAAAACGAATTACTCAATTAAACTTTTTAAAAAAAAAATCATGTTTTTATTTTTTCTCCAGCTAAATAAACAACATATCATTGTTTACTTTTGTTCATTTTGATTTCTTTTTCCTCACACCAAACAAGAACACAAGGGTGTTTTGGATATGAGGTGTGATAGGTCCATCACCCTACAGTATAAATTCTGTGAGAGTGGGACTAGAAGCACATAGAAAGTGTAGGGCAAATAGGACCACTTGGGCAAAAAGGGGACCATAAATTCTCTGACTCGTGGCTAAGGCCAACTTTTCCCAAAAGTGTACCACACCATTGGACAGTGTTGTTGGTCTCAATCACTAACAAAGGTTGGAAAGACAAAGTGGCATTGGCAAGGGCATCATGGGTGTTTGTGAACTCCAGCAATGGTGCACATGCATGAATTTTCACTTCGTTTCTACTTAGCCTATGTTAGGTTTTTTCATGTGTCCCCATTCCCACACCTTTTTTATTTTGTTATATCACTTTATTTGCTTCTGTGTGCAGTTTTATAACTTAAGAAACATCAACCTCATCAAACAACGGTGAAAGCTACCCAATGTTAAATGCAAAAAATAATACAAAGAGAATCAAACCAAGGTGAGGCTTATGATAATAACCTCCTCACTGTGCTTTGTACCTATTGCTGTGTGCTCGATTGAGAGAGTTTAACAGAATAATAATATCATATAAAATTAATGCTTTTTATAAGTTTGTGTTTTGTTATTGCAAAATTAATTTTTATTAAATATTTTGTGTAGATTATTAATTATTCTTTAAATCAAAGGAAAGTGACTCTACTTTTTATGGAAAAAGGTAGCATGGGTGATAGCAATAAGAAGCAAAGCAAAGTGATTTTATATGTATTACACTTCCTTTAAATGTTTCAGATGGTTTTGGAAAATTTCAATATAGGTCAACGTTTTGAATTGCTGTTGAATTCATAATTACAGAATAATTTGGTAAATTGAAATATCAAAGTAGCCCAAGAAAAAGAAAGTAAAAATTGATTCCCATAACAGCGACAATTGACATGAGAGTAGCCTAAACCTTGAAACAATGTTGTTGGAGAACTATAGCAGCATCTAGTTTTTGGTGAATCAGTCAAGTGTTGCATCTTGATAGTGAGAGTCTAATAGTAGATAACATCAACATAAAGATAAATTTTGAGTAACACTCAATAAAATTTTTATAAGTATTTATTCAAAACTCTCCAATTCTTAATTCTTTCTAAAGAACTGCTTAAACTGAACCAAATAAATCGTTTAAAATACCTTTTTTCACTTAAAACTTACTGATAAAAAGTATTATATTTTATATTAGAATATCAAATTTACCTTCTTTAAAACTATAACCTTCAAAATTAATGAAAACTTATGGAACTTTTTAACATTTTTCTAATCTCAAATCAATTCTAAATTTATATATCATATTGTTAGTATAAATTCATAATATTCATACTAATAGTTTAATTATGGATATAAAAATTTTACTAACAAAGACTAGTTTATCATTAATAGTAAATAACAATTTTTATTGAATTAAGATCTAATGAAATATATTTTAACATAAAAATAACAAGTAGTTATTATTTTAAAAGAAAAATATTTTCTGAAACGTTATGTCACATTTCAAAACTATATAATACTAAATTATTTTAATTTATAGAACAAAAACTATTTTATTGTATTAAAAAGTATTGGTTGTATTAACAAAAGAGATCAATAAAATAGGAATTCGAGTAGATTTTTCAATACAAGGCTATAAGGTTTGTTTATTTTAAAGTTAAATATATTTTAAATATTTGAATAAAATTAAAATAAGTCTAAATTCATTTTAACCGCATAATTTATATTAAAACATTTATCACGACAAGTGTAATTGATTTTAAATGTTTATCGAAGAGCAACAAAATATGTTGCGCAAGTTACGAAAGGAGTTGATTATAATATGTGGTTCTCTCAAAAACCTAAATTAGGAAAATTATTAATTTTAGCCACATATTTTATATTATAATTAACTTTAAATGTTTATCGAAGAGGGACTAAAAAGTGATTATAATTTGTGGTTTTCTCGAAAGTAAAAGTCAAGAGTGTAACACAGGTCGTTATAATTAAGTTTGAATTTAAGATGTTAATGAAAAAAGTATCCATAGAATATAATAATAAAAAAATAATTATTGACATCTCACACCGAATATTAAAAACATAAACTAGATTAAACTATCTTAATATTATTATCCAAAAAGATTAATCCTGAAAGATTGAACGCCAACCAAGACAAAGTGCTTCCGGCATTTTCGGCAGCGTAATTATATTCACATGGAGAAAAACAGCATCCAATAATCACTTTTTTTTTTAATTCTATTTTTAAATAATCGTGTTTTGTATTTACATAATAATAAAAATACTCATAGCATTGACTCAGCGGTGACCAGAAATAACTATTTTGAATATTTATTTATTAAATAATATTTTAAAAAATTTAATCCAATCATAATCGCAAATATAAAAAGCGCAGTGGCAAACCTGAAAATTTTGACGAAGTTAAGGGCAATTGCTGGACCCATTGCACTTTTTTATTTTAAATTTAAAAAAAAAATTAATTTAGCTTGCTTCTGTATTGAGCTCTCACAAACACACACACTCTCTCTTTCTCAGCCATAGACGACGCTGTATTTCTTTTTTATGCTCTTTATAATTCCACTGCATTTTCTCTCTCTAAAATCGCACTTTCTCTCTCTAACTCCTTTCTCTCTCTCTCTCTCTCTCTCTCTCTCTCTCTCTTCTGCAACTGATTTTCTAGATCATAGTTCCCTAGATTCTCCCATTCTGTTTTCCCGCACTTTCTCGCCTTGATTTTCTTCTCCGCCGCACTGGCCCGAGCTCAGTGACCTCTCGATCACCGGAATCCGTGGGGTATCCGTTTCCTTCCTCGATCGCTTTCTTCCGCCGTAACCTAGCGCCGTGTGCTGGTGCTAATCACTGCCGTAGCTCACTTCGGAGCGCGCTCGAGTTGTTGCTGCGCTTCATGAAGCTCCGGAGCAATATTTCTGGTGCGGCGAGTGCACGATGGAGCCGTAATTATGCTGGATTTGAGCGCCGGAGAAGGCTTTCAGCTGTTGGAGCTTGCTAATTTGGGGTCGAGCAAGGGTTTGAGTGGATTCACGTGTGAATTGATGAATGGAAGGGTTCGGGTATGAAAACGGTTGAATGCAAGATTAGTGATTAGTGTTTAGATTTGAGGAAAAAGTTTCTGATTAGTGTTTCTTCTTTTTCTTTTGTTTTTTTTTGTTTTTTTCTATTTTGTTTCGGGTGATGTCACGGACTGATAGAATGAGCTCGGATCTTAGCAGAACTGGTCCTGTGGAAAGAGACATTGAGCAGGTATCTTTGTTTTGTCCATTTCCTTTGAAACGTTTTCTGCATTTATATGTTAGCGTCGTGCCTTGATTTTTATTCTAGAGTACTGTTTGGTTGTTGTGTTGTGTATCCATGTAGTGTACTGTGTAATGCTCATATTTGCTGTCTTGGGGGGCCACGTTATTGTGGTTTGATAGAAGTTTGGCTTAATTTCACTATGAACTCAAATTTTTGGACATGTGAGTGGAAGTCTAGTTGCAATAAGTTTCGATTATTAATTGCCTTCTACCGCCTGCTAGGATTGCTTCACCAGGTGAAGCCAGTTTTCAGGAACTAATGGTTTAGGTGATTGACGGCGAAGAATCCCACTGATTATGAGCTGTTGCATGGATTTCTTTTTTAGCGTCATTTTTTCTTAACGAGTGTGTTGAATAGTTGATGTGTATTTAGATTATGGGTTATGACTTCAGAGTGTAGTTTGAAGATTTGGATGCTTCTTTACTGAGCTGAATATTTTAGAGATTGGCTTTGTGAATATTAAATTATTTTTTTCTCATGTTTATGTTTCACTAGTTTGATCATTCATGGATCACTGTCATACTCTTTTGTGGATCATTTAAGTGTTAGATACCATGTTCTGTCACAAGAATACAAGGCAAATGTGGTATACTGTTGTTATTATATTGACTGATAGATAAAAATATTTGGATATGCTCTTTTATATATGATCCAATTGAAGTAATTATGTGATAGCATTTGGTTGATTGTTGCAGTGTTTTGTGAAATTTTGAACTTTAGCAGGATGCTCATTGTGCTTGTCAGCCAAATGTTCTCCATTTGCTGTGTTTATTCATTGATTTGTCTATGTTATAAGTATTCTTTCATCTTCAGATGTGCTGATTATGCTGACTGAAGTCCTTTATTGATCTTAATAACAGGCCATTACTGCTTTAAAGAAAGGGGCTTGCTTGCTCAAGTATGGAAGAAGGGGAAAGCCCAAGTTTTGCCCCTTTCGGCTTTCCAATGTGAGTTTTATACTCCTTTTTTCTGTAGATTCAAAATAATGCTTGTTAAAGTGTGATTCTTTTTTGTTTTTTTAATAAATAATTGTATTTGGCATTAGTAACCATGTCCCCTTATATTTTCAAAACCAAGCTCAAAACCCTCGGTCTTTCCACTTTTTGTTTTTATTTATTCTTAAGTAGTGGTGAAAATATTTCTTCAAAGAGATAGTAGTGGGGTGCTGAAGTTGAATTACATAGAGTGTGAATAGTTTGTTGAAGAGAGGTACAAAATGCAATGCATCAAACAAATTAAGTGTGAAAATTAAGAGATCTCAAGCTTTACCAGAAAAATTTCAAATTCTACCAAAAGACAGTCAATGGCCTAACAACAATTTGGTTAACTTGAGTGTAGGTTTTCGAAAGTGTTTGCAGTAACACCGTTATGAAAACTTGATAAAATCACAATGATTATGGTATTGAGATTAACATGAATTTTCAGCAACAAATTTAAAATGTGAAAACTTGAGTTTGTTTTTAGTAAACTTGATTTTGACAGCCCTGATTAATTTATTGGGAAATTTTATTGGTGTATGACTGGATACAACTTCTCTTCCTCACGAGACTGATTTGATCTGCTTAAGACACCTGTCGTGCCAATATTTAAAAAATGGGAAGCTTGCCTTCAGAAGGCTGCCAAATATTGTTCAGGAAAGCACTCAAATCCTTATAACTAGATGTAAATCCGAAGCTAAGCATGCATGTTACCTTATTGACAACCAAACTATTTCAAACTCTGCTGTATTTGATGGTCATGCCATTTATGGAATGATTTTCATGCCATTTCATGGCTTGAGAGCTATATGATTATTTTCTTGTTCCCATAATCTTGTTTGCGATTTATATATAATATTTTCCTAATTTATTTGATTTTACTATGTTAAAGTTTGTCTTTAGATGTTGTCCAGTTGCCAAAAATTGAAAGTATTTAATTTTCTTTTTTTCTCCAGGATGAATCTGTTTTGATATGGTTCTCAGGGAAAGAAGAGAAGCACCTTAAACTGAGTCATGTCTCTAGAATTATATCTGGACAGCGCACAGTAAGTTTTTAGATTGACAGTTAAAGATAATGACACTGTTTTGCTTCTTCAGATTTAGCCGACAGTCATATCTTGTTGAGATGGCCAGTTGTTATAAGATAGTTCTGTTCTATATGATGTTTGTATGGTTAATACAGTTTGTGTCACTTATCTCTGTAGACACTCTTGTGACCTCCAGTTACTCAAAGTCAAGATATATAAATATCACATCTTTTATTATCCATTTACTGTACAAGACTTTGTTTCTTTTGTATTAGGAATAGTTTACAATATGGCTTGTTTGTGGCAATTATTGGATTGTGTTTTGCTTTTACAAACATTGTGATGTTTTGTGCTGTTTCAGTGTCCTATCCTAATAAGTTATTTATGTAAAAAGACATTACACATGTATAAACTCAGCATTTTTTCTGGTGAGCGTATGCAAGGTGTTAACAGTTATAAATATATTCATGGTTCCTTCTTGACCTTCAGCATCTACAGTGAATTCATTTCAAGTGACAAAGTTCTCTGTTATGATTGACAAACATGGTCCCTACTTTTTTCAGCCTATCTTTCAAAGATATCCGCGGCCTGAGAAGGAATACCAGTCATTTTCTCTTATCTACAATGATAGGTCACTGGACTTGGTATGAATTTCTTCATTCTTCCCCCTTGGGTTTTTTTGGCTGCAGTTGGCCTGTTGCTGTGCTTGTACAAATTTTATATTGATATTGTGAATGGTATCAATGAATTTTGTATGTGGAAGGTTAACACAATCTGGTGATCTGATTCTTTTCTACTAGATATGCAAGGATAAAGATGAAGCTGAAGTTTGGTTCAGTGGTTTGAAGGCATTAATTTCACGTAGTCATCACCGAAAGTGGAGAACAGAATCAAGAAGTGAGGGTATTCCATCTGAGGCTAATAGTCCTCGAACATACACTAGAAGAAGTTCTCCTTTAAATTCTCCATTTGGTAGTAATGAAAGCCTGCAAAAGGTATTCACATATTATCTCTGTCCCTTCTGTTTTCTCCCTCTTTCTTTACATTGCAGTTGAAGATGTTCATTATGAGGAATTTTGCTTGTCTCCTATTCAGGATAGTGGGGATCACCTTCGCCTTCATAGCCCATATGAGAGCCCCCCAAAAAATGGTTTGGATAAAGCATTAGATGTTGGTCTGTATATTGTTCCTCAAAAGGGTTTCTTCCCTCCAGATTCTGCCAGTGCTTCAGTACATTCTGTATCATCTGGAGGATCAGATAGTATGCATGGTCACATGAAGACCATGGGTATGGATGCTTTTCGAGTTAGTCTATCAAGTGCTGTTAGCACATCTAGCCAAGGTTCTGGTCATGATGATGGCGATGCTTTAGGGGATGTTTTCATTTGGGGGGAAGGCACAGGTGATGGTGTTTTGGGTGGTGGGAATCACCGGGTTGGGAATTGTTTGGGTGTAAAATTGGATTCTCTATTTCCCAAAGCCTTGGAGTCTGCAGTAGTTCTTGATGTACAGAACATTGCTTGTGGTGGACGACATGCAGCATTAGTGACCAAACAGGGAGAGATTTTCTCCTGGGGGGAGGAATCAGGAGGCAGGCTTGGGCACGGTGTTGACTCTGATGTTCTACATCCGAAGCTTATAGAAGCTCTTAGTAATACAAATATTGAACTTGTAGCTTGTGGGGAATATCATACATGTGCAGTGACACTTTCTGGTGATCTTTATACATGGGGTAATGGCACATACAATTATGGTCTTCTAGGACATGGAAATCAAGTGAGCCATTGGGTACCAAAAAGAGTGAATGGTCCCTTAGAAGGCATACATGTTTCATATATTTCTTGTGGACCATGGCACACTGCTGTTGTAACATCTGCCGGGCAATTATTTACTTTTGGTGATGGTACATTTGGTGCTTTGGGTCATGGAGACCGAAAAAGTGTTTCATTACCAAGGGAAGTAGAGTCCCTCAAGGGTCTTCGTACTGTGCGGGCTTCTTGTGGTGTTTGGCATACTGCTGCAGTTGTGGAAGTCATGGTTGGAAATTCAAGTTCCAGCAACTGCTCTTCGGGTAAGCTGTTTACTTGGGGTGATGGAGACAAAGGTCGACTTGGGCATGGTGATAAGGAAGCAAAACTTGTTCCAACCTGTGTTGCCCTCGTTGAGCCCAATTTTTGTCAAGTTGCTTGTGGACATAGTCTTACTGTTGCACTTACCACCTCTGGCCATGTCTATACAATGGGTAGTCCTGTCTATGGCCAGTTGGGAAATCCTCAAGCTGATGGGAAGCTACCAACCTGTGTTGAAGGAAAGTTGTCAAAGAGTTTTGTGGAGGAGATAGCTTGTGGTGCATATCATGCTGCAGTTTTAACTTCAAGGACTGAAGTTTACACTTGGGGGAAGGGTGCAAATGGCCGATTAGGCCATGGGGATACAGATGATAGGAATACCCCAACATTAGTAGAAGCTCTGAAAGACAAAGATGTCAAAAGTATTGCCTGTGGAACTAATTTCACTGCAGCTATCTGTCTGCATAAGTGGGTGTCTGGTGTTGACCAGTCAATGTGTTCTGGCTGTCGGATGCCATTTAATTTCAAAAGAAAACGCCACAATTGTTATAATTGTGGACTTGTTTTTTGTCATTCATGTAGCAGTAAGAAGTCTCTTAAGGCTTCAATGGCACCAAACCCCAACAAACCTTATCGTGTTTGTGATAACTGTTTTAATAAGCTTAGGAAAACTGTAGAAACTGATTCTTCATCTCATTCTTCTGTCAGCAGAAGAGGAAGTGTCAATCAGGGGTCTTTGGAGTTAATTGATAAGGATGATAAAATGGATTCCAGATCTCGGAATCAACTTGCCAGATTTTCTTCAATGGAATCCCTGAAACAAGTGGAAAGCAGATCTTCAAAGAAAAACAAGAAATTGGAGTTCAACAGTAGCCGAGTCTCACCTGTTCCAAATGGTAGTTCACAATGGGGAGCACTGAATATTTCTAAATCTTTTAATCCTGTTTTTGGATCATCAAAGAAATTTTTCTCAGCTTCTGTTCCTGGATCAAGAATTGTTTCCCGAGCAACATCCCCAATATCAAGAAGGCCTAGTCCACCTCGTTCAACTACACCAACCCCTACACTAGGAGGTCTTACATCCCCAAAGATAGTTGTGGATGATGCTAAGAGGACTAATGATAGCCTCAGTCAGGAAGTTATTAAATTAAGATCACAGGTATCTAGTTTCATGCATTCATTGAGAGCATTCCCTTTCTTGCTATAAATATTTGAATAGAATTTTAACAAAATGGACTAATAAGTGGCACCCTATTTTGTATTTCAACTAGTCATTTTTTTTACATTAATTTTGTGAATTATGTCTGATGGCAAGAAGGGAGTTATGTGCTAGTTCAGACTATTTATGCAGGTTGTAGATAGCCAGATGCATATTAATTGCAAGACAGTGAATTGCTTAATTGCTGTATCCTGTGATAATGTTTGAGAAATGAACTGCAATTCACAATTTATTTTAGAGAGCTTCTCGTCAACTGCCAAAAATTTATTTATTTTTGTAAATAATTTTGATATAGAGGACACCTAATAGCTTTAATTTACTTTCACTGGCTGTAAATAATGTCTTTCTCCTTCCTTTTCTCCCTTCATTTTTTCTAAACCTGCAACAAGGATGTATACTTGCTTGTCTATTTGTAGTGAACCTGATAATCTTTTCCCCTTATAGGTGGAAAACCTGACTCGGAAAGCCCAACTTCAGGAAGTTGAGTTGGAAAGAACCACTAAACAGCTAAAAGATGCAATAGCAATTGCTGGGGAAGAAACTGCCAAATGTAAAGCAGCAAAGGAAGTAATAAAGTCACTCACTGCCCAGGTAGAACTTTAATTCCTTAAACCACTTTTAACAAATTAGACTTCGTTTACAGCCTAAAACTCTTGCTCACGAAGTAAAGGAAAATAAGAGCAAAAAATTTTACATGTAATGTGGGTGGGGACCTTTTCTTTTTGTTTTTGAAACAGATCAGCTGTTATCATCTCCTAGAAAATTTTTTTAGCTAAAGAAATATATTCAGTGACCCACTGAATTAACACTAATTAACCCTAAGAATAAATTGTAAAGCTGTAAAATGTTACACTTGGGCCCAATGTCAATTCCAAGCCCAAAATAATGATTTCTTAATCTTTAAGCTTATATGTTTTGGGTTTGTTCTAGATTTGTGGGGGATGTATTATAACAAGGCCAACTGATTCAATGCTTATTTGTTTCTTGGGCTAAATAGTTGAAGGACATGGCTGAGAGACTACCTGTAGGAGCTGCTAGGAATGTCAAATCACCCTCTCTTGCTTCTTTGGGTTCCAATGATGTTAGCTATGCTTCCATTGATCGATTAAATATTCAAGCAACAAGCCCAGAAGCAGACTTAACTGGATCAAATAACCAGTTACTTTCAAATGGATCAAGCACGATCAGTAACCGTAGTGCAGGTCACAATAAACAGAGCCAGTCGGATTCAACTAATAGAAATGGGAGCCGAACAAAAGATAGTGAATCCCGTAATGAGACCGAATGGGTTGAGCAAGATGAACCTGGTGTATATATTACACTTACCTCCCTTCCAGGAGGTGTAATAGATCTTAAGAGAGTTCGTTTCAGGTATGTAATGCTCTTAGACATTGTTTTTCTGTCAACTTACAGAACTTCATCTGTGAAAATTGGTAATGTAGAACAGGATTTTACTTTTCTAGAATAAGGCTATAATATACATGGTGTTAAGGCCTTGACAAGGATTTTGACAAACTTTGATTCTATTTGCAATGTAGTCTCTTTCAGGTCCTGTAACATTTTGACGCAATTGAGTGCTTTCCTTGCATAGATGATTTAGTATACAATTTTTTAGTGTGTATAAAACAGTTCAATCATTCAATGAATTGCTTATAGTAACTATCAGCAGCAGTCATGTATCTTAGATATGAGTGTAATAGTAACTGTCATATTGGCATTTGTGTGCAGAAGTCAGGAGCAGTAATGGATTATTAGAATATATGATGGAAAATAATCTCTTATCCTGCATTTGAATTAGAAGCTGTCTTGATGACAGTTATTCATAGAAAATAACTGGTGGCAATGATGTATTAGGGTATATTTTTTATGGCAGTGTGTAATTAAGGAGGTGTTGTTATTTAAAGATTGCGGACTGAATACTCTCTATTGGAGACTTGTCTCTAGGACCGCAAATACATTGCTGCATTTTATGTGATTTCTGTGTTTAGCATTACATTTTATTGCTTTGTCTATTGGGGTTCCATCATGCACCTTTTAGCTGTCAAGGAACTGTGTTCCATAGTGTCTGAGGAGTAAGAATCGTGATTGCTCCCCAGCATGGAAAAAGCTTCTTTTTGCCATTTTTGGTGCCCAACATTGTTTTGCTGCTTTGTTCAGCACCTCACTGCGTCCGCACGCACTGATTTTTGGATAACAGAAATAACATTGAGAATAGAAATGGATGGTATTCTGTTAGTTCCAAGAGCACCTGTGATGAAACTGTGTTATGTTTCCTGTCTCGATCAATTGCATATTTACTCCATTTGTAACTAGGAAGTAATTTCCCGCTGTGATGTTTTATTCTATATAGTCTAGTGTGTGGTGGGACCATTCAGAAAACTACAGCATTTTACAATTAGCTGTTTTATTATTTTAATTTTAACCATAATGCTGGTGATTGCAGTCGGAAACGGTTCAGTGAGAAGCAAGCAGAGCAATGGTGGGCTGAGAATCGTGCAAGAGTATATGAACAGTACAATGTGCGTATGATTGACAAGTCTTCTGTTGGTGTTGGCAGTGAAGACCTGGCTCATTGACATAACCTGTAAATGAGATGTTTTTCCACATTTTGGCTGGAATTAGAGCTTAGATCGTATTGATCAATTACATTTGGCTTCCATCTAATATAAAGCAACATGGGAAGCTGGGGATTGGCATAGTAGGAGAGAATAGGGATTGATTGTGATTTTGTAATTCCTTTTCTTCTTTTTCCACTTTGATTTCACTTTCCATTTTTTCCCTATATGTACCTTGTGTGGGGGTTGAGGGTGAGAAATGTAAATTCTTAGCAGGATGCAGGCTCTGGTTGAAAGGAGCTGCAGTGTAAATTTCATAAGCGAATGCATTAGCAAATTTTTCTTCTACACGGCCATGGAAGGAGCGACACTAAGGAGTTGATTTTTCCTGCTCTTGCAATAATACCTATTTGCCAGTTGGTGACATCTAACGCCGTTGAACCACTTTACATTAATCTTGTCTTAGCACCGTTGAAGTTTAATTGATAGAAGACTGAAGAGATTAAAAATTTTAAATGATAAAATTAGTTTTTTGTTTTTTCAAGAATGAGAATAGAGTTTAACAATTTCTATATATATAAAATATGGGGGGTTAATCTGGTTACGTTTATATGTATATTTAATTGTGTGTATCAGCAAAATGTTTATTAGTTGTTGGCTGCACTTAACATTCAAATACCTGAAAAAAATTAAATTGAATAACCCATCAACGATATGAAACATTTTAGTCAATTGTTTGTAAGTGTAAGCTAGTTAATTCATATTATCACTGTACGTACCCAGCATAACAATCAGAACAACCTATCTTGTCCTGCCCCAGCCTCATCTATTTGAAGTGAGTGTGGTGAAATAATGCATTTTATTAGTAGCTGCTCTTTGAAAAATTAGCAGAGTGGACTGTGGCATGTAGAAGGGAATGAAAATATGCTTCTCTCTCAAGCTAAATGAGGGAAAACAAAATTATGTTTTAGGAAATAAACCAATTTCAAAGAAAGAAAAGACAATTTTACTGGTAACTACTTACGATAATGAATTACATTATGATTACGCACTAATTACTATTGTCAATGCAAAAAGAATGAAATAAGAGTTCAAATATTTTGATACGATTGCCAAAATGCAATTCTATTTTTGTTGGTACATCACATTATTAAGTAAAACATCGAAAGCATAATGCATTGATTGTAAAGGGTATTTAGCTTTTCAACTATCAGTTTGATTCGAACTGACTTTATTTGAAGGTAAAGTTAATCTCGTTAAGAGAGAACTCGAGGATTAGAAACTAGAAAACTCATTTGAGAAATTGACTTTTTCAATAATTTCTTCAGATAACTTGTTGGAGCTGAGAGTTAATGCCGGGCCCTTGTTTTCTTGTGTTGTTTTCGTAGGAGGCTTGTCTTTCTCATCTTTCATCTTTTTGTAAAACAAGTAATGGAGTTGCACTCCGAACCTTGTAGGAAAGTAGTGTATAGAAGGAAGTCCCACATCGAAGAGGTAAGGAGAAGTAGCGGGTAGAATGGGCTATAAAATTAAAGCTTGTGGGAAAAGGCAACATACTTACCTGGACGGGGTCGATGGGTGATCATGAAGGCCCATGGCCTAGGCTGGTGACCTCCATTGCACTTGGGAGGGGTGCCCGCCTAAGGTCTGTCCAAGTGACAGAGCCTACGTCATAATTTGTGGTAGTGGGGGCCTGCGTTCGCGCGGCCCCTTCCAACTTAGTGATAATGTTTCACTGACGTATTCAAACAGTGTCTGTTGAATTAATATCGTTTCGTAAGTCTAAAATGACAAATTTTCTTAATTGAGTTTCAGACATAAATTCTTGGGTTTATTGTCAAATCGTGTGCTTCTAATTTGAAAATTGTTTCCTCCATTCCTTTTCTGCCTAAAATTGTCTCCCTGCCCTGGAGGAAAGCTTCAAAATGTTAATTCATTATTACTTAAAAATACTAAGTTTTTATTTAAAAATATCTTAAATGAAAAGTTAATAAAAAACCGTACAAATTTTTATTGAAAGAATATTTATTTTAGTGCATTAAATTTTTTAATAAAAAGTAGTTCTAATTATTTAAATAAACGAAACTAGAAGAAGACCAATCAACGGGGATGGCTCTTGAAACATGTCGACTTAGGGTGCCAAATCTGTTTGGTATGTCGAAATATTTGGTAAATTTTTTTCCCTTTAGTTTTCATATGCGCGCTTGGTAGGAGAAGTTTAAGTGTCAAATGATTAACTTTTATAATGCAAAACAAATAGCTCCCCATCAGCAGCTCCGTTGTCGTCCAGCGGTTAGGATGTCTGGCTTTCACCCAGGAGACCCGGGTTCGATTCCCGGCAACGGAATTTATCACTTTTTATAAAATTTATCTGCTGCATAAAAATATCTCCAATTGCCGCAATATTTTTGAACATGCAAGAAATAAATCTATTACTTAAAAAAATTAAATTTCTCCAGAGTTATGTATAACGGCATTCCGCAATTATTATTACAATTGTACATTGATGGATCCTTTTTTTATTTTTTTTGGACAAATTGTATACATATCCTATGCAACTCAAAATGAAGGAAAAACATGCCAATTTTTTTTTAAAAAAAAAAACAACTCCATTGAAAGCTCATTACTAGCAGGTTGCGACAGAAGAAGAAAGCCACATAAGCAAGAGCAGCTTTGAGACATGTCATCTGGATTCCAGAGGTCATGTTTTGTCCCATGAATACATAATGGCTCCACCAAAGTGGTGGGAAAAGCTTAACGCCAAACTTGTCTAGGCCAGCTCATAAGGTAATCAAACTGTCACGTGGCTAAGGACGTAGCAAGAATGCAAGGAAAGAAGCATTGTCCACGGAACTATCTAGTGTTCAACAGCTATGCTAGACTCCTGTGTGTGGGAAGGCCTCCATTTTCGTTCAAAGATGTTTCTTTCAACTACTTGGGCAGTCTGCAACTTCTCATCCCGGACACTTAGTTTATTATCTATTAGTTCCAGCAATTCTTGTAACCCAATTCCCGTGATAGCTGATGTTTTCACATGTGGACCCAATTGTTCCAATGAGCTATCTTTTAACACGCTATTTTCCTTATTGAAGGATTCATTTTGTTGGTCAGTCACAGTCGATGGTGAACAAAAATCAGCTTCATTGACCAAAGTATCCTCATATAACCAACCATCAGAGTAATCTTCTTTTTCTTCCTTGGTCTCAGATACAGCCAATGACTGATCAACAACCTCCTTGCTGTCTTCATTTTCTGCACAAGAAATACTGCCAGCATAATCTCTCTCTATTTCTGCTAATGCCTTAGATTTCACATCATACTCTCCACTGAAGCTGCTATTTTCATCAGCCTCTTCATCTTCATCAAGATATTCATCAACATCCATGCCTTCTTCCACATCAATCTAAACATTTCCAGTAATTCAGTGGAGATATATATATATATATAATCAACAATTTTCTTGCATTTTGGTAGAATGGCAGATGGGTTGCATTACCTTATTCCAAACTTCAATCATATTCTGAAGCTTCTCTTCTGACACCCCTATTTGTTGAAGAACTTGAAACACTGTTGAGCGATGCTCATCAAGATTGGGAGCACTTGAATCCACCACATGCTTCAAGGAAAGATAGATTTGTCAGTTGACTTGTCTTTTGCTACATTAAAGACTGAATCCTAAATAGACAAAGTTTTGTAAGTTTTAGAGCAAAAGTAGCAATGAATGCCAAAAATAAGTCTAATGTGCACATAATTCATAGTTTGTATAGCAATCAACAGCCATAAGGACTTCACCATGTGAAGAGAAACCAGATGTAAGAAGGTCAATACCCTCCATACATACATACATAGATCTTCCAAACATCAAGGATGTTTGTAGCAAATGAAAGCGCTAAATATGGAAATCTACACTTCTGTTCTCCAGTAACTGAAAGGAAATGCAAAATCATACCACAAGCAGGTCTGCTTCCACCACTTCTTCTAGAGTTGCATGAAATGCTTCAACCAACTACAGAAATTAAAAGGAGAAAAAGATCGATTGGGTTACTGTCAAAGAAGAATGTTGAAGAATAATATTGACAGAAAATAATCAATATACATGCTGACATGGCAATTTGCTCATGTTTTACCTTACCTGTACAGGCAAATCAGATATAAATCCTACTGTGTCACTTAAAAGCACTTTCTTCCTGAGAACAAAATTTGGATAGAAAAGCATATATACTTTATCAACCAATGTACAAATTAGGGAGCATTGCATACAAGATTGGAATAATATGGTAAGTTGCCAGTCAAGTTACCCTGAAGGAAGAACAGCACTTCTTACTCTAGGATCAACTGTTGCAAACAGTCTGCAATACACACAATACCATGTAGTATTAAAAGTGAGAAAGCTAATATTAAAAATTATATTAGAATTAGAGGATGCAAATGCATATAGGCAACAGTAAAGGTTGTTTTACCGACAATCACTATACAGATCGCTGTCTGATAGCTTACTGACTAATGTAGATTTCCCCTAATAAAGACATGTAGAAAGGCATATTAGTGACACTTCTAGTTACAATAAATAGCACACACACATATATGTAGGCTACTTACAGCATTTGTATACCCAACAACAGCAACAGTGGCTAAGCCTTGTCCTAATGAACCTCCATGCCTCTTGCGACCAGCACGTTGTAAAGCCCGGGTGCGACGAACCTCTTCAATTTGAGATAATAGATAATTTCTCCTCTCTAGGATTCTAAGGGTAGTTTTTCACAATTCAGGGACCAAATTATGTGTAAGAAGTAATCATAAAGGCTATAGTGATTGTGATTCACATCAATGAGTAGATCATATTTCATAGACAGGAGTACTGGACAAAATACCCAGCAAGACTACATTATAAATGCCAAAGGCAGGTTAATTTCAAATAAGGCTGCATGCATTGCAGTTTGGAAGCACTGCAAAAGTTGTAGTAATGCAAGCTTGGGATCAATATATCTATTGGCACTCAGTAAGGAGTTGTGGTCATTGGGATTAAACTTCAACTCCATGCAGATTAAAGTTACATAACCTAAAGGCTAAAACATAGAATTTTTCTCAACATTCTTCCCTCCTTTGAAATATTATTGCATGGAGCCAATTACAGTGAAAATTTACAACACAACAAGAGTGAAAAATCAACTTTGAAAATAACACAGGTTTATAAGGAAACCATATAAGACATGCTGGGAAAAGAAAATATATATATTGCTTGAGAATAAATGTATGTATCATAAAAATTAAATATCACAGATATACCTTCGTCGCTGAAGCTGAAGTTCAGTTTCTCCAGCACCACTCATAAAACCTTGCCCCCCACTTCCTCTCCTGAAATTGACAAGTATTGTGTTTCAATGCTGTTATTCTAATTAACAGTACACTACTACAATAGACTAAGCCAGAGGATACACATACTCTCATCACACATACATACATATATATGATCATAAAAGGAGAAGCGAGTGAGGAAAAGTAATGAAAAACTATATTCAGTTTCAACCACGTTCGTACTTCATAACAGCAATGTAAACCAAAATTAAATAGGTATGACAAGTTAAGTTTGGTGACAGAAACAATGTGTCAAGCGGGAAAAAAAACATACAGTGATACAGATTCATGCATAAGGAACTGTTGTTAACAATCAAAATCAAAATTATCAAACATGTCAAATTCAAAAATTCTTTCCGGCCCAAATTTCCCGGATGGTAATATTATCCAATTCAGCATCTAATGACGTTTTCAATTAAAAAAGAAAAATAGTGTTCCAAATAAAAAATGGTATCAACCACCAGAAAACTAGGAACTAAACCGACCCTCGGGCACTGACAACTTCAGCTTCTCCTGAAGCACCAAACGTATGACGACCACCGGGGCCACGAACACGAACAAGCCGTGTCTTCTTGTACGACAGAGCTGCAAGTTCAGCCTACACAGACGACCAAGCTTATATCATTCACATCCACAATGCATTCAATAAAACACAACGAGTGCCTAGAATAAACATACCTGGAGTTTGGCTTCCTTAGTAAAGGCATGAGCATTGAAAATCTCTATTATAAGCCCAACACGATCCAACACAGGCTTATCCCAAACCCTCTGCCAAAAACACACCATCGCCAAACCAAAACACAAATTCAATTCAAATTCTCCATTCCAAAAAAAAATAATATATATATATATATATATATAGAGAGAGAGAGAGAGAGAGAGAGAGAGAGAGAGAGAGAAACCAAACCATACAGAACTTACCTCCAAGTTCCGTTGCTGAATCCCAGATAATAAAGCATTCACAAAAACAGCATCCACATCATCCTGTTAAACTCACACACACGAAATCAAAATCAAATTCAAATTCAAAATTGACAACTCAACCAAATGAAACATTATACACAAAGAATTAATCAATACCGTTGATTCAGCAGCATTTAAATGGCATTTGATGTTGTGAACGGTTCCAGGACCAAAATAGGTGTCTGCGCGAGGGTTGTGACCTTTGAGGGAAGGGTTCTGAACGAGGAGGTGAGGGGGTAAGGGTTTATCGAAGAAATCGGTGTGGAAATAGCCATCACGCTGTTCTTCGAGAGAGTTTGCGAGGCACAGAGCTTCGTTGAGCTTCGCCTGCAACAGCTTCTCCGGCCGAAGACGCGGCTGAACCACCAGAAGCTTCGGAAGCCTCGCACTTGCCGCCTCAGCTTCGCACGAGTACGGTGCCCGCAATTTGGCACGTGCTGAATTTTGGATCTTTCTAGAAGACCCCACTGCTGCACACAAGCTTCTCAACATCTCTGTCTCAGTTTCTTCTTTGTTTCATTGTTTCTGCAATTCTTCACTACCCGCGGGTAAGGGTTTTTCTCTCTTTTTGTGAAATTACCCAATTACCCTCTTTATTATAAAAGTAGTATATGAACAACAACATATTTGGATTCTGATAAATTCAATCGAGAGTCCTTACAAAGGTTAGAGTAATTTTAAGGGTTATTTAGTACACATTTTAAATGGAAAAATGTTACTTAAGTCATTTCTTTTTATCTATGTATTTAGTTAGAATAAGATGGAGAAGTGATTTATGTGATAGATATTATGATGAGATAAAAAGAAAACATTAAATTGATGTTAATACTGTTAAATGATAAATCTACAATTTTGTTAGAAAACATAAATGTTTATAATTTGAGGACAACTTTGTGTTTCCCAATTTTTTTTCACAGGTCATAAATCTATGATATTGATTAATTTACATGTATATTTCAATAGTATTCAATAACTTAAAAAGTTAATTTTATCAAATGAATTCTACTTAACTATAAATTAAACAAGCACTACTATTTATTCTTAAAGAAACTCTAATAAAATTGCTTATTACCTTTTCCTACATGTTTTGGTTAACTAAGGTGACAAAAACAGTTAAGCAATGATAATTAAAAAAGCAGTTGATGTTTATATTAAAAAAAATGGGTAACAATAATATATATATATATATATATATATATATATATATTACATATTAATGTACAATTTATGATACCTTTTTTTTCTAAAGTTAACAAAATTGTAAAATAGAAAAACAAAAATATTACAGCAAGACTCGTTTAAACAACTTAAGATACTATTAAAACAAAAAATTATTATTATAATTTATTTAATTTTTAATAAAAAATTATTTATTTAGTAATCAATGCTGACAACAAATATGGTAGAAAAAGACGTAAATATCTTTTAGCATGCAAGAAAATAGGAATGATAATGGGTAGTATAAATATTAATTTTCGTACTCGTATCTTCTAGGTCATCGTATACCCATCTTGTACTTATTACTCGCGCTTATTTGAGGAAAAATATTTATAAAAAAATATGTATATATAACTTTACATAAATAGCATAATAATAAAAAAATTTAATATGTAGTTGTCGAATAAGGTATAAACATAGATAAAAAATAAATATTCAAATATCACAAGTGCTAAATGTATCTTAATATAATACTTTTTTAAACTAAAATTCTTAGAAATAATAAGCGAAACTAAACATACAAGTTATTTGTCGGCCAAGGATGTTTTCATTAATCAAGAACGAAAGTTGGGGGCTCGAAGACGATCAGATATCGTCCTAGTCTCAACCATAAACGATGCCGACCAGGGATCAGCGGATGTTGCTTTTAGGACTCCGCTGGCACCTTATGAGAAATCAAAGTCTTTGGGGCGCCCTCCTACTCATCGGGGCCTGGTCCTTGCCCCGACGGCCGGGTATAGGTCTCGCGCTTTAGCGCCATCCATTTTCGGGGCTAGTTGATTCGGCAGGTGAGTTGTTACACACTCCTTAGCGGATTTCGACTTCCATGACCACTGTCCTGCTGTCTTAATCGACCAACACCCTTTGTGGGGTCTAGGTTAGCGCGCAGTTGGGCACCATAACCCAGCTTCCGGTTCATCCCGCATCGCCAGTTCTGCTTACCAAAAATGGGCCCTGATCTTCTGTGAAGGGTTTGAGTGAGAGCATACCTGTCGGGACCCGAAAGATGGTGAACTATGCCTGAGCGGGGCAAAGCCAGAGGAAACTCTGGTGGAGGCACGTCAGTATCAATAAATTAAATATATATTTTTAAAAATATTATCAATAAATAATAAATTTATGGTAATAGTAAGTGATTGTAAAATTTATAATATGTTTATTATTTATCATTCGCTTTATGATTTAAATATCAATATGATTTTATTAACAAAAATATTTGTGTAAAAAATATTTTATGTGTGTCATATATAAATAATATTTTTAAAAAAAGTCAATCTCATATCAATTATGTAATAATTAAATTGTATTAGTCTAATTAAATAAAAAAAGTAGTAAATAAATTTTTCTATTAAAAATATAAACTAAAATAATTTTTTTGGTTTACTTTATTATTAAATATTTTTATATTAATCTTATATAACTTTACATAAGTAATATAATAAGAAAAAAATTCAATGCATAATTAAATATGACGCAGGTTGGGTACTTAGATACCAATATGTGCACTTATATTTGTTTAAATTTGTGAGTTTTTACACACACTCATATCTGTATTCATATAATAGGTAAATACTCTATCTATTATGAATAAATTTTGTGAGTAGTCGTTTGGTACTTTACTAATTTTCATCCTAAAAGAGAAGGATAGGGGGCAAGTTAGGGATTTTGAAATTTTATTAAGGGCTGTTTTGTTTAAAAGCCTAAATTATAAATGTTGTGGCTATCGCGGGCTTTAAGAAAATTCAAAATCCAACGACCAATCTTCTTCATTCTCACAGGTACCGCTCCACAAACCCTAGAATCACCCATTATTAAATCTTTTCATCGTTTTTAATTACTCGTTCCAAATTCTTCTTAGTTCTCATTTAACTGAAGAAACCCCGCAATTATTTGAATTGATAATAATTGGAGAGTAATGTCCTGCATCATGCAAATGCCTAATTTTAATAATAATAATTTATCCCTCGTTTCATTGAATCATCGTTCTTCAAATTTTATGTTGGTGACAACGATCTAACTAGTTGCTGCATGAGTCACAATACTCGTATAACCAATTCAATTTCTTAAGATTTTCGCAACTCATTAGTTGTGCTTGACTTGTGCGTTCCCATAAAACCCCCTTTTTTCGTGGTTTTTATTTTTTCACATAAGTTTTTTAATTTGTGTTGCAGAGTTCAATATCAAAGTCTTTGCTCTCTGAAACAAGCGAAATAGAATAATGGCCAAGTTTGTTGCTCCTGGCCACCTGATGATCAAAGAAGAAAACTTGGATCTTCACCCTAGAAGTAAGCCTTTTATGCTATGTTGCTTACATCAGCAATTTCCAACAACTAGAGTGAATTCCAATTATCTATTGAAAATGTTTTCAAAGAATTGAACAGTTTAGAAATTGACTTTGCATCGGGTAACATTTTTGGTGGAGCGTTTTTCTGTTTACCGTGCTCTTCTTTCACTACATTGGTTTTGTTTGTCCTTTTTGTTTGCTTGTTATAGAGACTGTCAAGTGGAAGAGTTCTAAGACAGATGGAAAGAAAGGTGTTTTGGGAACTGCAGGTCGAAAAGCTCTAAATGATATAACAAACAAAACATCACTTGCTCCTGAAGCTTCATCTAGGAAAAAGAATTTACCCAAGGAAGATGTTAATGTAAAGGAGGAAATGTTCTTGCATGATCACAAGAGGTGTGTTGAGGCCCAAAAATCTGCAATGAGAGATTTCAATCTTGAGACGGTTCTTCCAAAAGATGGTAACCCTATCTGGCTTTTTCCTCTGTAATTGGATGTATGAATGTATGTTGTGGTTTGTGATTCAGAATTTTATAACTTTAACTTATGGTTTACCTTAAAAATTTTACATCAACTAAATCGGTGTCTTAGTTTTTAACTTCACAGTTACTAGCAAAATGTTGTCTTGAATCCTATGATGTCATTGTGTATGTGATATATTGGAAAGTGAGTACGTTCTTCAAGTGAAGTAAATTATTTCTAGCACTCTTGTAATACGAGAAGACATCAAGACAATGAACTCAGGCTTTTGGCATTTAAAATTTGTTGTGAAATGAGTTTATTTAAAACATAACTGAGTGTATTTCTATTCAATCATTCGGTGAATTAAATTTAGATGTCCCTTATTGTTATTGCATTTTACATCATGTTGATATAATTCCTAACGACATTTTATCTCCGCAGATTCCATATCTATTCTAGAGCAGATAAAGGTACTGTTATCTTTCGGTAATACCTTCTTAACTTTTAGGTTTGTTTTGGTTACTGGTGTTTGAAGCTGAAGGATGCTTTGAGAACAACCATTGAATATATACCATTTTTTTTGTCATGAGCAATAAAAATAAATGTGCTTCAGTTCGTTGCTTTACATCTTGATTGAAGCATTTAACCATCCACTACAGGTCTATATATATTTACACATTTGCTGGATTAGACATGAACACACATTTTACTGTTTGCCTCCCTTTGACCAGTATTTGCTCTATCTTCCGTTTTCCTTTCTCTTTTGGTTTTAGGTTCCTCATTCCCCTCGATGCTACCCCGAACCAGAAGAATTGCCGATGTCTGATTTTTCTGATTGGCTGGACTACTCAATGCAATGGAGCTCTCGTCCACCTTCTCCATTACCATGGGAATCTCCAACATACCCCCTTGCATGGCAAAATGAAGCAGTTGAATTTGTTCTGAAGGAAGAAATTGATGCCCAAATGTAACCCCCAACTTCTATTATGCACGTGTGTGTTTAAATTTACAGTTAATCAAACCATGGATCCATGTTTACTCTAATGTTACTAGCTGTAACTTCTACATTGACGTGATTTTAAAGCATGCTGAAAAACTGTTCCAAACATGCAATAAAACAAGTGGATCCCACTGTTTGGGATCACCAAACCTCATTCTTCGGCTTCTTTCTCTCAACCACTTCATAATCCCTTCAGTTGAATGAACTTTTAGCTATTTTCACAATTAAACATCACATTTAGTGCACGAGCAATGTAGAACAGGTAACGTTAATGTAGTACAAGCTAACTGACTTGTGTTATCCCGCTGTAATGTGTTTATGAGCTGTGCATTATTCCGGCATGTTAAGCTTCCAGCACTCAAGTGAAGGCCACAAATGGCAGCAATTCCAATTGTTGAATGACTCAATAAACCAATCCAATCTAAAGTAAACACAAACCTGATAAAATTGGTTCGGGAGTCGGATTTTTAAAATACAAATTTAATAATCCGACAAAGAGTGCACATAAATAGTACAACAATGATTTCCTAATCCTATGGCATGTCTTTTGACAGTCTGCATGGAGGGAGTCGGAAGTTTCATTCATTTAATTACTCTTGTTGGTTCTTTTGGGATAGGAATTTCCAAGGGATTTCCTAGAAGTGCGCATTCTTGGGAGATGAAGATGATGGCAGTCCTGGGTATTTCCGCCTAAATGACAATTCTTTTCTTGCTTTTGCCTTGAATTTGAAACACCCGTGTATTTCCTTCGAAACCGCATTTGAGCAATTTTAAATCATTACGTTAAATTATGGGCTTGTTTATTTAAAAGTTTAAAAAACTAATGATCATACTTTTCAATAACAAAAAAAACACACACAGCCTTCTCATCTTGATAATTTGTAATAACACTAAATATAAATTTTTATTCAAATAAATTCTAATTTTAATTGGTAAATAACACAAACAGCAACATATAGCTTTTAACCTTAAAAATATTACTAACATTTAGAACTATGTTTGAACATGTTTAAAATTACACTTACACAAATTACGTGAATTTGTAACAGAATGTCTGAATCCATACCCACTGTACAGCAAAAACACTTTCGTAGTTAAGGGTGCTGGAGGAAGATTTCCGGGTGAAAGATTACTCTCCCCATCACTAGTGTGGACATGTGGCACACTTTGTGAGAATTGTGATTCAGTTCTTTTAACATAAAGATTTCTATTTAATCTAAAAAACTTCAAGATTTCAATCCCCACATCTATCCATGTCTTCATTCCATTCGTAATTCATTCTTTATCCTATTGACTGAATGTGCTGTATTTGGTTTAGCATTCAATGGAGGTATACACACGTTCTAAACATACAAGCTAATCTTGGTAGCATTCAAAATTACGCGTATTTAGGCCTTTGTGACACGGAACCAAACTTATACGAAATCTTCATCAACGATGTGACCAAACTTGAAATTATTTACAAAGCTATTCATACATTATCATCCAGAGTTTAGAGGCGGGGCAGTGTGCATGCTTAAATAATCTGAGAGAGATTCAATGTAAATAATTGGACAGCAAGATTGCATTATATGAAGTGCGGGAGGAAAATTGACAGAGGAAGAAAACATTAAAAAAACAGGGAGGTAACTTATAAATATGACAAATACAGAAGTAAATGTTTTTCAACATGAAAACTCGCAATACATCTCTTATATAATCCTTAGATATCATTTTCACTGCTTTGTACATATTATTGTTCACACCCTCCTTTTCATATAAAACCAGTAAGATGCAGCAAAATAACAGTATCACATATGTTTGCCTCTTACACATATCAGCTGCTACCATACATGTTTGATTAAAAGGATTCTGTCACTTCTTTCGAGACACAGCTGCTGCAATTCCACCTGCTATAAGTCCTACAGCAGTTGCAGCAATGCCTAGGCCAATGACACCATCTACAATAGAAGAAAAGAAACAAGTGTCAGTGCTTTATTATAGCCAATATCAGCTTACTTTCCCTTTACTCTCAGCAAGAAAATGTTAAATAGAACATCAATAATCGATTGGAACCTTTTGTGATCCGATCCTCAATTGTCTTCTTCAGTGTCACTGCTTGCCTCCACTCGGGTGCAATCTAAGAAGAATACATAGTCATGATGTCACATTGAACTATATAGATGCTGCATTGGTGTATATGCTATGGGATGAAATTAAAATATGATGTCCTGTTTTTGAGACTACACAATGCAAGATACAGATGACAACTAGTTATGGATTGAGATTCGAGGTAGAAATATAAGCAAATATGGTTAGGGACACAACCCAAGCACGACTCTGACACTGCTTATTTAGGGCAACAAATTATAAATCAAAGGCAGAAAACACAGGAATGGGATTCTTTTTTCTGTTTCCGCAAAAAGAACAGGCAAAACCATTATGCTATTTAATTGAAGGAAAATGTTAGGACTGAGTTTAAGAAACTACAATAATAAGATTATATTTATATAAACTTATTGTACTTTTATAACTTTAATGCAATAAATGTATTTCTTTCCAATAAAAACTTCCCCATTTTAGATGCTTAACCTCAGCCTTGATTAAAAACGAAATTGTTAGCATCATAGGACTGATTTTAAGAATCTAAAAATAGTAAGATATTATCGGAAAAAATATTATTACATAAAAAATACAAAAATGTAATAAATATTTTTTTTAATAAAAACTGAACTACATTGGCATACTTAAAATCAATGTTAACAAAATTGAATTAAAAATTAGAGGGGTCGAAGTGGATGTATTGTTGCCTAGCATAGGATATTAAAGTTCGAATAGACATGGATTCCCATTTACTTAAAATCTTAAACGCTATTAGTGGTAGCTTTTGCTTTTGAAATCACGTTTAGGTTCCTATTCCGTAAAGTAGATAAGGAAATAATAAAGAGAGAAGAGCATACATACCAATAAGCATCTGTCAACAAGATCCCTGCTCCTTGAATAGTCGCCACTTCTGTAATATCCAACAGCCAGAAGATAAAGCTTCTCCCTTTGGTGCAGTGGGTTGTTTGTAGCAGGTAAAGATGCTGCCATGCGCATACCCATGTACATACATGCATGTCAATTTTCAACATACAAAACTAAAAATTACATTTCATGAAGAAACAGTAAATAAATAGTGACCTTCAAGCATAGCTATCCCACGCTGTACATCTTGTGGGCGTTTGGAGTGAACAAGTGCCCATGACAGACGCAAGAGACAATCTTCCATTACCTCATCAGAGGATTGTTTCTCAGCCTCAGCAACCTCTCTTTCACACCCCTGCCACCATAATTCAAATTCACATTGAAAAGAGCAAAAACCCTAAGATTAGATGAAAAGGGAAAAGAAAGAGAGCATACAGCGATGATGTCAGAGTCGCAATAGGGAAGATGGTCTTTGCCGGAGAACAAGTTACCCACCGAGTCCACAATCATCCCTAACTTGGCTTCAAGTTTCGCCATTCAACTCACTGAGTTCAACCGAGTCGAGTTCAACACCAACTCAGTCTTTCTCTTCAGATAGATCAAGAGCAGAGAAGACTTAGTGCTTACGTTAGATTTCGATATCACACGCACACGCCGACACACCGTATCTTAATCCTTAAGTCCCGTTTATGTAACAATGCCACGACAGTGCCATTCTTATTTTCTTTTCAGCTATTTTTTTATTATTGGTCAAAGTCAAAATTATCAAGAACGATACTAAAATTTATTGTACATACTAAATTACCATTACTTAGTTTTATTTAATAATTAAGTCCTATAAGATATTTTTTTAACCCTTTAAGGTAAATTTATTGAAGTATTTTTTTCATTTTTAATATATTTTTAAAATACATGTATATAAAAAATTTATAAACATCCTTATATTAATTTGTTTTGTGATATTTTTGAAGTAGTGCTTTTCCATACCAGAAGATTTACATTTTGTAATATAAGATTCTACTCGTTAACAAAATAAAATAAAATACCAACCTCAAATTTGAATGGTAGCTGTAGATTAGAATTTGGGTATTACACTGGTCTTTATCTGCCGTTATATTTATCTTTTATCAAGACAAGATTGTTCTTAAGACAGAGACAAAATAGGAAAAGGGTATGGAAATTGCAAGGTGCCTTACTAGCATGGGGAAATGGTTGAGGCAGATGTTTCGTTCTTGGCTTCTTCAAAGAAGATGAAACTTTGAAGACCCACCCTTCATCCAATGTTTAATAACTATGCAAATAAAGTTGAGATGAGAGATTCAAACATGTTCACAAAATGAGTACATATTTCTTATTCATAGAAAACTACAATTTTGAACAGAAATTTCTTAGCTCCCTGTACATCTCATTACTTACAAGCCACAACTTGATCCTGTATGCCAAGCCAAATTGTCAATGAAAACAAATAAATAAAAATAAAAAATAGAAAAACAAAGCAAAATCACCATGCAAATGGTTTTACAAACTAATCTCTATCCCCATTCACATTCTTGGTTTATGTGAGCCTCACACATACAACCAATCTCAATCTAATGGCTACTTTTGACAAGTAAACAAACCAAAAATATTAATGACAAAAGAAACGCTGTACATTATGTACCCTTCAAAGCATTAGTTCCAGAACCATCTTGCAAACTCTACACTACACAAAAACTTTTATGAGGATTATGTTCCTCAGATTCTCATAATAAAAGAATGGCTTCATAAACTTCCCATCATTGTATGGTTTCATTAGTATATGCAGCTGCATGGTATCATCTGATGGGAATCTTGTTCAGATTCTCCAAGGAAGGGTTAGCCTTCCCACTATGATTAAATGACTTAAGACCCTTTTTTTTTGTCAGATAAAGCCATCTAATATAACTCTTGCCTTCTTGAGCACATACTCTCTGGAGATACATTTTCCTCATCTTGCTTAAGTAAGAAATCTCCATTTCCATTGTAAAGCCGAACTGATAATGAAGGCGATGAAGGTCCACTACCTGCAATTATTTCAACATATAAGTCACACGAAATAATATAGTAATCTGGCAAGTCAGTGGCAGCAGAACGAAGTGGTATTATCAAATTTTTCATACCTCTGAAGGAAGGGCTTCTCTCAAAGTCCTTGGTTGCATGTAGCATTATTGTGCCAGAGAGAACAACAATAAAGCCACATATTTCTGACACAATAGTTCCACCACTTTGGCCATCCCAATCCTGAACATTATTTTGAAATGTAAGTTGACTGTTGTGCAATTCACATACAACAGAAACATCTTGTCCATCCTATATTAAATGCCAAAAGTAGTTGATTATACCTTAAACATTATCACACTGGCTAGTACTGTAAGTGTTGTGAACATGACATAGTATATAGGAGATACAATTGCTGTGTTGAAGGTGTCAAGAGCCTGAAATATTATAATCATATTAGTGAAGCATAATTTATTTAAAATTTCAAATTAAAGAACTTTGTATATAATGCACAGAGATCTGAATTCTCTAGAATTGTTTTCTTTTCCATTGAATGTAACTTAGACATCACTTTGAACAAGATTAAAAAAAGAATAATAAACATCACAGTATGTAATGGATTCACTATTTTCAATACCATTTAGCTAGCAATATGAATGCCAGTATTTTCAACAATTAAACATTTATTTTAAACTTCTAAAAGTTCACGTCATTGCATCAAGAAGTTAGGCTAAAATTCTCGTGCATAGCTACTAAAATGTCAATCTTTTTTGTACAAGCAATAAGATAGAGTGCCCAACACTAAACCCCAGATGAGATTACATATTACAAGAAAAGTAAAGTCAAAATCGAGAGAAGTTATGATTACTTGTAAGGAAATGACCACACGTACTTCAGATAAATGCACTAGTTGCATTTACTAGATAGCTAGGTAGACAAAGGATTAAATATATTTTGTAAAACCATTTACCAGTCATAGAAAACAGTTAATTTTTATTTGTATTAATGCCATGCATATTAAAGTAACAAACTTTGTTAGGAAACCAGAAACAGAATATGGGTATATTTAGTATTAGTGAATAAGAAAATGGAACTCCACCGAGCATTTACAACGGAAGTATAACGGATTCTACCCTTCAGTTTCAGAGCCAACGGCTCCTCAGACAAAAGGAAAATCCTTATCCAAACAATAGCTAATGATTCACACCCCTTCCCTCATCCAGAATTAGTCATCCTTGCACTCATTTATGTACTACTGATCTAAAGGCTATCAAATATATACACAAAATGATAAATATATTCAGCATTTTAAATGCAACTCTGTTATTGTTGCTATTGTTTCTGTCTCTCATGACCTAACAGTGAAGCTAATTTTCTTCCTTTTCAATTGATAAATTAAATAGTGATCTACTTGTGTCAATATTAATAGCAGCTTCTCTCCACAACTTTGCCTATGGCTGCTTGTTTCCAAACTTTAATAGCCGGTCTTATGCTTGAATAAAAGAGTGGGTTGTGATATGCAGTCTGTAGACAGATTAAGACTTTGTTGAATATTTTATGACACGAGTCAATGATACAAGTGAAGTTCACATGTTCTAGTTAATTTTCTTATACATTAAATAACTCATTGTTGGTTACATATTCAAGGGATGTTACATTAAAAAGCAGGAGTAGAACAATAAAATCTTTTTTTTATAAAAAACTAAACTAAATTGTACCTTTAAGCTAATACATGAAAGACTAAAAAAATTTCAAATTCTAAACAATTCTTCAGTTCTGTCAAGTATAACTGTATCTTCGAGAATTAAAAAAAAAAATCACACCAAAACTAAAAAATGTGTCCATAATACTTTTCTGGTGCCCTGTGCATGGTTTTTAAAGGAGTCTCCTTGACATATAGAGACATTAAAGCTTTGTTGCATATTCCATTTTTAAAGTAAGAATTTGACAAATGTTTGAACTAACAATCAACCACCAATAGGCCATTTACAAAAATAGAAGTACAATGAGGCTAGCATGATAGTTTTAAGAGAAATCAGTTAACATACCTTATTAAGATAATTCATTTGCATGATGACACATATAGCCACAACTAACAAAAAAAACCATGTTTCTGGGTAAGTTAACTGATTTTTCCCTTCAAAAGTTAATTTCAAAGAAGTTCCAAGGGCTTTAACACTCATCACCTGCAAAATTACAGTAATTTCATATAGATCAGTCCCCATATTATTGCAGTGTCACTACAAAGCAAACATTTTTCAGTAAATACCATCAGTTTAATTATCTATATAAAGTCACATGGAAGCCAAAACTTTATTTATGAAATTTGTTATTATAACATAAGTGAATACAACAATAACAACAATGACTAAACTTTATCCAAGTAGGTAAAGTTGGCTACATGAATTATATAATGCCATTGAACTTGATCAAAAATCAAATTCTCTTGAGATATTATTTACTAAAGATCGCTCTTTTAAAGTTCTTTTAAGTCTACCTCTACTCCTTTTCACCGGACATGAGTGAACTGAAGACCAAATTATTTTCAACATGAAATCATGCTCCTCAGATTGCATGTGTTTAAAACTAAATACTACCTTTGAGTGAACAAAGCTTTGAAGTTTAGATCAATTATCAAACAGAAAACTAAACAGAAGAGATAACAGTTAATATACTTACAGAGAGAGAACCCATCAATGAACAAATGCCCGTAAAAACTAGCACATTAGTATGTCCACATCTTGGTGCAAAATGGAAGACCAGAATGAAAACCAATACTATTACAGAGCCCACATATGCCAGAAATGCTGCATGCAGAGAGAATACATTTGTTATCAAGGACCTAAAATAATTTGCAATTTTTTAAAAAGGCAATGCATTCTAACCTGGTTGAGTAGCCATATTCCATATTTCCAGAACACATTTAATTGGTTGCTCTCTAGGAGCATGAATAACAATAATGACAGAACCAGCAATGCACATCACACAGCCCAATATCCCAAGATTGTGCAGCTTCTCTTTCAGAATAAAGTCAGCCAAAACAGCACTAGAGGATACCATGCAAACATCATTGAAAAAACAACCATGTTGCCAACGTTAGAAGCTAAAACTGCCTTAACTCTAGAATGAAGAAAGGTAAGGGGAATACCTCACAATAATACTTAATGCACCAAGAGGGGTAACTAACACAGCTGGGGCAAATGCATATGCAACAAAGTTTGCAATCTCTCCTACAATCACTGTACAAATACAGAAATAGATTCTGCAAGAAATCAGATTAAAAAAAAAATAACCATAATAAACTAAAATTTGCAGATTCTAATTAACCATCAACAGTATAAAAACTTATCTCCCATATGTTTGTGTGTGTATAATAATAAAAAAAAAGCTGATAGAGCATCTGAATCATCAAATCCAGATTCCACTAAACAATGTCAAATCAAATTAATTAAACCAAACTTACAGGATTCAGTAATTCCATTAAAAATAAAATAAAATTAGTTTCATACAATTCCATGATTGGATAAAACTCAATCAAATATGAAGACAAAGTACAAGAAAATCTGACCTTGACACAAAGAAACAAAATAGATTTTGACAAGGCAAAAAGTATAGAAACAAGATTAAAAAGAGCATTTGAAGCTTACTTGTGGTCATCCCCACCCACCATAGAGGCTCCAAGAGATAATAATACCCACCAACACCTACAAAATGATAAAGAACAAAACCATGCATACATAACCAAAACCAAATAAAAAATCCAAATTTTAACAAAGGAGCATTGAAAAAATCAATCAAAAGATTAAGAAAACTATTCATTTCCTCACCAGCCCTGACACCAGAAACAGCTGCAGCTCTTCTGAGACCTTGTTTCTTAATGATAAAGCTTGCCCCAATGAATCCACTTGATATCAAAGCCAGAATGAGACCTTTCATATTCTCCTTCGAAAGACCCATCTCGAAAAATGTTACTTTCTTCTTCTTCTTCTTCTTCTTCTTCTTCTTTTCTTCATGGATGAGCCACGAGACAAACACGGTTCCTCAGATCATCATCATTGTTTGTTTGTTTCATGATTGTGGCATGGAAAGAAGGAAAAGATTGGGTGTGTACGACCATAACCTATTATTTTAGACCACCTGTAAGGGCCCCACTTCTCATTTTTAACCCTTTTTTTATAGTATGCTCCGAATATCTGTATTTATCGTGTTCATGACAAATGAATGTAGATAAAATACATACAAAGTCTAACTCTGAATCACATACGCAAGTTTTAATATAATTTTTTAATTTATAAAATAAATACTAAATAAAAATATTATTTAGTATTTTAAAATTATAACAATAATTAAAAATTATAGACATATAAAATAAGAAGATTTTAAATTTTATAAGGTAATGTTGCCAAACTTCTAATGCAACCTTTAATTGGTTGCTTTTCCCCTCGGATGTTCAAATTTATTTTCCCTTGTAAAGCTTTTTAATTAGTGTTTCAATAATATTAATCAAGAAATATTAAATATACTTTATTACATATTAGTAATCATTTAAAATTATATTTTACTATCTATAAATATGATTTATAATAAGATGTTGTAACGTTAGTTTATATATGTAGCTTATCTAACTTTATAAAAAATAATTATTGTTGTCAAAAGAAATTGATTCTATTTTGTTACAAACTTCTTAATTATTTTTTATTTAATTAAAAATTTGCTTAATATTTATCCTCTACTTCAAACGAGTCTTTTATTCATTAATTACATAAGAAATTAATTTCTCAAAACAATACAAGTTTTTTCAACAATATTTTTTACACACATTTTAGTATTACATAAGAAACGGGAGTTGCTTCGTTAGAAATAAAAAGCATTGACTAATTGAAAAGCAGATTGAGAAAAGATAAAACTTAAGATGTAGCCTTTTATTTATGTTATTTTTTAATTGAATTTTATGTGATAAAACTTTATTTTTAACTAAAAAATAAAATTAAAAAACACTTAAAATAAGTGTTGAGTTTTGTGGTTAAAAAATAAAATTTTATGACAATTTATACATATACGTAAAAGGTTGAAAAATGATAAGAATAATATCACAAGTTGCATTCTTAGTGATTGTTGTTGTTGTGTCATAATGTGAGAAGTGCTGAAAGGTTCACATGGAGGTCCCATCCCATGTGGAGAGGTGCAGGAAATTGTACAGTGGGACACGTGTTGCTTTTCTAAGCTGGCCAATGGGAAAGATTGAAGAAACATCTAGGAATCATGCTATGGTAGCCAAATGTAATGTGGGCCCATGATGTTATATCTATGGACACGTGTTTCTTTGTGGGTGGTCAGCTTGGATTTGTTCTGTGGGCATATCGGAGAGCTTGGTGTTGACCCAACTCACACGTGGGCCTCTAACTGGGCCCTTCCTAGCCCAATGTCGGCAAGGAATTCAAAAATCATTTTCAAAATTATTTGCATGTCACAAACAAAGGGCAGTAATGACAAATTTTCCCTTCTCTCTCATTTCCTTTTAACATAAGTGTATATTTAAAAACCAGTTAAAATCATGTTTTCAAGTAAAAGTTATAATTTTTAATAATAAAATTAACACATTTGACGCTGATTTAAACACATTAACGAGGTATTATTGCAAAATAACAGTGAAGTAGTGTTTGTTAAAAAGACAATGTAAGAAGCAATGATCTAAAAAGTAAAGAATTAAAAAGTCGATCGAATGAGTGCCAAAAAGAGGAGTTATTTTATTTTTACAACATATTTTTAAAACATCATCCTATCTATTTTCATCTTATAAATCACCTTATCCTATACTTCTCTCCCTTATTATGCTGTCTCCTCTTAGTTATAGAAAATAGGAGTAGAAATATGTAATTTATATATTTTACAGAAAGAACAGTAAAAGAAAGGTAATTACAATAATGGGGCGTGACTCAAATCCTGGAAGGGATCAGAGGAACCCCACTTCCAAGCTTTACAGGGTAACCCAAGTCTTTGAGTATCATCTCCACACCAGCAAGACAACCCAATAGTTGAAACTGCAAAATATATGTTCTTAAAAAATTACTATACCTTGCCAAGGGTAACATCTCTGTAATTTTAGTAAATGACACTTATAATTTGATGTGGCATCTTATATTAAACATTATCTAATTTAATTAAATAGAAAGAACACCTATGGAAAACAAGTTCTGGCTTGGATATGCAGGATTGGAGTGTCTATGGTCTGACTCGAAAAGATTTTGAGAATAATATTAAATTTAAATTAATTTAAATCTATTTTTATAATTTAAATTAAATTAACTATTTTAATTTTTACCTATATCTATTGTTTAAGAAAAAAAATTTAGTTAACAAATATGGGTTTAGGTTTTATGAACATCCCAAACATACTGTAATAAATCTCAGTAATTTTATTTATCTCACTTCCGTTCTCTATACTTAAAAAAAAAAAAACACCGTAATATTAACAAAAATAGAATATAAAAAAAATAAGTGTGAGTTCATTCTTTTATGACCATATTTTTCTTGAAAATCAAATTAATGCAAATTAATTTTTATTTTAAAATTCATATCTTTTCATCTCTTGCTCAACTAAACACTTATTGTAAATAACCAAACCGCACTGCTTACCTTAGACCACAATTATGATGTAATTCGGTGCACTCACGCGAATAGGGAATCTTACACAAATGCAAATCAAAAGGCACTTGAAGTTGCTTACTAGAGTACCGTACCACCTGGGAGCACAAAGCTGCTATTGAAAATAATATTTCTTTTCTTTTCTTTTCTTTTCTTTTATTTCTTTCAGTTCATTTTGGAATTAATTTCATATATCTACAAGCCTGCAAAAGAAAATTAGAGTAAAATTTAATTTTTAATATAAATGACAAAAAAAAAATTGAGACCAGAAAATGATGCTTCGTTTGGTTCATTAAAATGTCTACACATCTCAAATCTCTTAGGTGTTATGTTTGGGAGTTGAGTTTAGAAAAGAAATGGGAGAAAAAAGAAAAAATTAAGAGAGATTAACCCTTATGTGTGAGTTACTTAATTAAGAGGAAAATATTTTAAATTTTTTTTAAAATCTTTCAAAACTCTCGTAATGCTAGTTTTTTAATTTTTTTAATCTGAAAAATTTCTAAAGATTTTCTCTCATACTCTTTCACAATTAGGATTATAATTTTTTTTAAATATTAATTTTTTAACTAAGAATTTTTTTTAAAAAAATTATAAAAAATAAAAATATTAACTTTTTGAGAAAGAAAATATTTTTTTATAAAAATAAAAAATATAAATAAAAATATAAAATATAATAATATTATTTATATAATTAAACTCTTTATCACCTTCCTCTCTTAATATTAAACATCTAAACAAAAAAAAGATTTAACTTCCTTCTTTCTCTCCTCTTTTTTCTTTCAAACCCTTCCTTTCCTTTCCCTTCTCTCAATATTAAACATCTAAATAAAAAAAAAAATTAACCTCATTTTTCCTCCCTTCAAATATTTCTCTCCTATTTCAAACTCTCAAACAAAGCTTTACATTATATTCAAAGTGCCAATAGACTTTCGATTGTATCTTTCACCTTAAAAAGAAAGAAAATAAAAAATAGTACATACTCGAACATAAGTAATAACATTTATTTTAAAGCAAAGTCTAGAAACAAGTTAACCAATGATTACTTTTTTTTTTTTTAAAGCTTCAATAAATTGTGGAAAAATAATTATTTTCCTGAAGTTAAGTCAATTACAAACACATTTATCGTTATTCACAAATATAAATAAAAAATAAAGTATGCCCTAATTACAACCTAACACCTTCCATAACCACCAGGATTGCAAGTTAATTACGGGCACCAACCACAGCATCAACGGCAGAACCAAAGCATTGCATAAATTATAATCATTTTCTAAATTTCCTATAAGTCGGTCATACCAAAAGAATAAAACAAAATCCAAGAGTCAGCTATATTACTAGTTCGGACAAAGATTAATATTTAATTTTAAAATATAAAGGAAAGGGAATAATTAAAAAATCTCAAAGATGCAGGAGCAATGTTTTTGGACAATCTAGGTACCGCATTCTATGAATTTCAATCGGATCAAACTTTAAACAAATGCAAGAAAAAACTTTGGGGAAGTAGCCAAGAAATCACTTTTCATTAGCTATTCACCAATTAAATCCCTTGAACGAGCTACAAAATCTCGGAAATTATATCTATAATTACCACAAAAATCAAATACATTCCTGTCTACATCAGCTAACATACTTTATGGAGTGAGCAGTAAAGTCCAATAAAATTTGCAGAACTGACAATGTACACTTTCCTAAGTATGTCTGTAGCAAGTGAGTAAACTCTTCGCTTTTCAAGATTTTTGCTGTCACTTTGGTCGGTCATCTTCAAGGAAGGGTAGAAATCAAAAGGGAAAAGGAAACAATTGGCAAGACTAATTTTTTATCTTGCATAAGATCTTCATCGGCTTCAGCCACCTTGTCAAGGATGCAAATCCCAGTGCAGGGATATTTCTCAAATCCGCCACAAGACATCAAAATGGGATCTGCAAGATCTTATTATGGGTGGAAGGAAAAAAATCCACGGAATATACAATAGCTGAAGCTGTATAAATGCAGAGTGAGAGCCAACCTCCAACACTCTTATTACCAGCCAATCTAATCCCACCAAGATGGCTACTTTATACCTGAAGAGAAGCCTTGTCTTGAAGGAAACCCAACAGGTTGTGTCCTATAAGGTTTCTCACCAACAAAGCGTTTATCAGATGGTCCAGCACCTAGGATGCCGAGTGAGTTAGGATCAGTAATTCGGATTCCATTACTAGTTGTTCTTTGAGGTAGTGGCTGACCCTGGAAATGATCATCATTTTCTGCTCTTCTTCTTCGTTTCCATGCCTCAGATTTCCCTGTATTATTAACTGTTTCTGGAATTTGATAGGTAGTCATATTTTTTAATCCTCTTTGCCTCTCCATATGGCGCCGAAATGGGTTTCCGTTTCTGCT